GCAACGCCCAGTCACACAAGGTTTGACTCACAGGTTTGCCTGTGAGTGTTTGCACCTCCTGTTCTTCCGGGAGGGAAGCCCTGTGTTTCAGATTCCCTGGGCACAGCCTTGACCGCCACGGCTCTCCCGTCCCCACCCCCGCTGAGCTCGTTCTCAGACCTGCTCTCAAGAGTGCAGACCCCACTCGAGCCTACCCCGCCCCCCTTGCCACTGCCCAGAGCCTGTTCGCAGCTTGGTTTACACCACACGGGCGTGCGGGCTGCCCGGGCTACGTGGCTTCCTTTCCCTGTGGCAGAACGGGGCGGCCCAGGCACAAGGAGACGCTGGGCTGTCCCCTCGCTGAGGAGGGACTTTGTTCAACCCTGGAGAGGGGTGCTGGGCCCGTGGACCTCGATTCTCGGGGTCAGTGATTTCCTGGAGACCCTGCCAGACTGGCTTACAGGTTGAACTCCGGCGAGGGTTCACCTACGGGGATATGGGAAATGACTGCAATAAAACAGTGCCTTCCCCAAGCATTCGGAATGTTTGTTTAATCCACACAACTACCCTAAGAGGGAGGCGCTATCATTACTCCTGTTTTGTAGGCGAGGACGCGGGGTGACTCAGAGCCGAGCTGTCCCGGAGTCGCGGGGCCTGGCGCGGCAGCTGTGACGGTGGCCCCGGCAGGCCGGCTGCCCAGCCGCACGTTCGGCCTCCTCCCCAGAGCCCCGCAGTCTCGGGACAAGGGCCACCACCTTCCCTGCGGAGGGAGTGCAGGCGTGGCCCACCCCAAACACGCAGCCCGCGTGCCACGTTCGCACTTCCCACCCGACACTTGTAAAATCAGGGTAACAGACACAGGTCCGCGTGAGGCCCCCTGCACACTGCAGAGGGGGCTCCGTCCCTCCCCCTCTGACTCAGTGGCCCCGAGGAGAGGCCTCAGATAGCAGCCTCGGGGGACACAGGCCCACCGGTGGGGGGCCTGCCGTGCAGGGGTCACAGAACCTTCCCCTCGGGCAGAAACGGCCCTGTGACGAGGCCCCTCGGACTTCAACAGGTCGTGCCCCCATCAGGAGGTCCACGACGGTAAATGAGAGGTTCACTTATTCGATACATCTGGGCCAACTGCCCGCTGGACTTGGGCTTGCCCGTGGCCACAGGGCACGTCTCTACCAAGGACCCCAGACAGCCCTGGGCCACCCCTTCACGGAAAGCCCCCGCCTGCCCTGACAGAGCCAGAGTGGGAAGGGCGGCTTCCCCTTGGGGCCCTGGCCGGTCTGAGGGGGAAGGTCTGTCAGGAGCTGGGCGAGTGCGCCTGGTAGACCTGCGCCCGAGGGTGCTGGGTGGGGTGGGGGTGGGGAGGATGCTGCTGAGCTTCCACGAGCCCCTTTGCTTCCCGTGGCTCATGCAAACCCTGTGTTTGTTCCTGGGCCACCGAGGGGCCGCTGCTTCCTCCCCCCTCCGTCCGGTACCTGCGGGGGCTTCCTGACACGACACAGTGACACTCACGTCCTGGAAAGCAGGGCTGCCTTCCTCCCCTCCTCGCCCACCTGTGGCCCCCACCCCCGACCCCCTGCCCCCGACCCCCTGCCCGGCATCAGGATGGCTGGGCACCAGACAGGCTCCTGGGTGGGAGTGGGACCCAGAGAGAAAAATCACGGAAAGTTCTCCTAACACGAACCCTAACGCCGCCCCTGCACCCAGAGGTTGGGCCGTCCTTGGCGCCGGGCCAGTGTTTTGTGTCTAAGGCGCGGCCCCTGCTCTCACGGAGCTCACGGCCTAGAGGCCGGGCCGGCCCCCAGGGCGGCAGAGCCCCTACGCCATGCCGGGGTGCCCCGCGGGACCCTTAAGGCAAGAGAGGTGAGGACACCTGGGTGAACGGCCGAGTGGCCGAGTGACAGGGTCCTGGCAGGGGTGGTGTTTTCCAGGCCGGGACCGCGGGTGCTCTTCTGTCCCCGGCGGCGAGCGGCCCTCAGAGGCCCGGGCACAAGGGGCGGAGCTGCAGGATGAAGTCATCCGAGGCCATCAATGCACAAGAGTATTCTGGCCGGGTGCTGCCGCCGTGGAAGCATGGGTCATTCTTTTCCCTCCCTCTGCCTTTTCAGAGAGCCGCATGCCCTTTCCTGCGGGAAGGGTGTGAAGGGCGAAGGGCAGAACGGAGTCTTCCAGGCTTGGGTTTCCAAAAGCTTAGCCCCTGGGGGATGGAGGGAGCTCTGTGCATAAACAGGATATTGGGGGCAGGGAGGGTGGGAGGGGAGGAGGACGAGGGGGGACGCCTGGGCCTCTGGTCTGTGCCCGTCAGGGAGCACAGCCTGGACCTGTATGTGTGTGTGTGGGGGGGGTGGCTCTGGTCTCCCTGAGGTGGGGCCTGCAGCGCCACTCCCCCCACCCCCACCTTGTGCCTCTCCGTGACCTGAGCTGGAATTGACGCCCTGCTCCTTCCCACCATGCCTTCAGCAAGTTGTTCCACTTCTCCGGGCCCCGGCCTTCTCCCCTGTTGGGCGGGAGCCACGCTGGCCTGCCCCAGTGGGCGATGAGGCTGCCATGAGGGCGGCCGGGGCGGGTCGGGGGGGTAGACTCTGGCCCAGCCTGCCCCTCTGCCCCCGAGGACCCCAGAGGCCTCACCTGGCCTGCCCTCTGCCACCCACTGCCCGCTGCGGCGGCCAGCCCCCAGGGCGCGGCTCCCCTCCCCTGGCTCCGCCCCTCCGTTTCCTGACCCCTGCTGCCTTCCCTGCCCCTTGCAGGGGGACAGGCACCTTTTCTGCTCTCTTCTGGCTGCACCCCCAGCCCCTCGCCCAGTGGCTGGCGGGCAGTAGGCACTGAACACGTATTTGTCTAGTAAAATCTGTCAGTGGGGGTCGGAAAGGGGAGGGAAGCGGAGAGCAGAGGGACCAGAAGAGCAGGTGCAGCCCGCACAGAGGTGAGGAGCCTTTCCACCAGCCGCCTGCCCTGTGCTGCAGCCATGGTGGCCCCGGGGCTGCGAGTGTCCCTCTGCGCAGCTGGTAAGACCCCCCGACCCCCACTACACGCGCGTCTGTGTGCACACCGGGCTCCAAGCACGCCCAGGGCTCCAGTCTGAGGCAAGGGGGCCTTTCCTGAGGTTCCCAGATTTGGAGGCTGACAGGGGAACAAAGCAGAAAGCAATGTTTTCGGCCGTGAGCCCAGGCCCGGTGACGAGCCCTCAGCCCAGGCTGGTGGGCCCAGGCGCTGGCTGCTCCCCTCGCCCTCCCCTCCAGAGTCCTCAGGCCCAGGGTCCAGGGTGCACAGCCTGGGGCCTGCTGTTCTGCGTCTCGGTTCACTCACTCACTCACTCACTCACGTCCTCACTAACCAGCAGGTATTGGTGCTAAGCGTCTGGCAGGTGCCTGGCTTCGCCCGGCTGCCATTCGGCGAGGAGACAGTAAATACAATCACTGCGGAATGTGGCCAGGGAGGGCGGTGAAGGAAATAAGTGGGGCGACCAGAAGGAATATCTTAGAAAGGTCCTACTGGCCGCAGGGGTCGGGGCAGCACAGAGGGACCCGCTGGGGCTGGGGCTGGGGCTGGGGCTGGGGCTGGGGCTGGGGCTGGGGCTGGGAGTCCCAGAGAGAGGCCAGGGACTTGGGCCAGGGCGGCAGCGGGCCTGGAAAGAAGTGGAAAATTCAAGGAGGTTCGAGAGACATGTCGGCTGCAGAACTGGCCACGTTTGCTGTGGGACAGGATGTCAAGAATGAGAGAAAGGGAGGGACCCACGGCGACTCCTGGGTTGGGGCCGGAGATGCCGGAGCGAGGGGTGCCACTCACTGCACTGGGTGGGGGGGGGACCGGACAGAGCAGCCGGGAGGGTGATTCTATGCGTACGGACAGAATGACAGCCGGAGGGACGCACGCGTGGGGCTCAGTGGCAGAGGGCGGAATCTGGAAGGCCTCCGGACGCCGAGTGGCACCGGGAAGCCAGCAGGGGCTCGGGTGTCTCGCTGGAACCCGAAATCCATCGCCTTGGGGGCCACAGCCAGTGATTTTAAACAGTCAAACGGTATGGGATAGAAATGTCAACGTGAACCACACACCATAAGAAAGAGTAATTTTTGTTTCCATTCCGTTTCTCTGACACAGTGATTCTCCAATTCTCCTTGGCGACAGGAAGCCTCTGGAACTCTGGTGGGTGTGAGGGCTCCGTTCCTTTCGGCAGGCGCCTTCCCGGTCCTTCCCCCTGTCCTCCCCGACTCCGTGCACGCCGGACACTCCGTGTGCACAGTTCTTCTGTCTGACTTTCCTCTCCGAGGGCCTCTGGCTGGAGGCCGGTTCCTTAGGGCCCAGGACCCCCAGCACCCCAGCCCCGGGCCCTCATCCCCCTGGACCCCTCGCCCAGGGCACCTGAGCAAAGCAGAGCAGCCCCGAGCAGTTCTGTTCGCTGGGATGCTGGCAAGGGCGTGGAGTCGGGAAGGAAGGAAGGGAACGTGCAGGTCACGGGGTTGGTTTCCAGAAGTTTGATTCGCTCAGTAGTTTGCTCGTTCATTCATCCATTCATTCGTTTTCAGCACATCGAGCCCTTCTAAAGTACTGGGAGCTGGGAATGTAGGAGATGAATACGTGGCTTGTGCTTTGCTCCCACGTTGCCTGGACCTGGTGGTGGTGACACATAAGCAAAAAGGTCCTTTGCCCGGGGCTTTTTAAACGTTCCGATGCGGGTCCCGGAAAACCCAGGCCCTGGCTCAGCGTGGCCCGAGCATCAGCGTGTTTGAAAGGCTCCCCAGGCGATCCTGCGGTGCAGCCCCGATTCCGAGCCCCTGTAACCTACGTCTGGGCAGTTCCTCGGGGTGACTCAGGCTGTGGGCCTGGAGCCACCACACCCGCAGTCCCTGGGTCTGGGCTCTAACCCTTCCCACTGGGTGGTCCTGGCTGAGTCACTTAACTCTGGTCCTGCTTTCCTCAGGTGTCAAACAGGCACAGTGCCACTAGCCTAGGGTGTTGTCAGAAGGATTCAAGGAGCTAAGGGCACATCACTGGTGCTCAGTAAGCACGATCTGTTGTTACTCAGCATGGACTGGGGGGCGCTGCGGCGCATAGGTAGGGCACCTACCCACCCAGAATGGGGTAGAGGGGTAAGGAGTTAGCTGGGCAAAAGGAAGGGGGAGATGAGGGGATTGAGGGAGCACATGGGGGTGGCCAGTCCTTCCAGACCCACCCAGAGAGTAGCTTGTGCAAAGGCCTGGAGACAGAGCCGCGGGCTCCTGGAGGGCCAGCGGCCTGGGGGAGGGGGGTGGGGGGAGAGGAGGCTGGAGAGGGCTGCCTGGGGCCCGGCCGAAAGGTCTCTGGGGACTAGGAGCGGGGTGGACGTGGCCATTGGGTGACAGCCTCTCCCGCACCAGTCAAGCAGCTGGTGAGCAATGACAAGACCTTCTCGCGGGTGGAGGAGGAGCTGAGCTGGCTGGACGCCCTGCAGCACTGCCGGACGCACTACACGGACCTGGCCGACCTGCAGAGCGCGAACAGCCTGGAAGGAATAATGACTCTCTACAGCCTGGCCAAGGGCACCTCGGCGTGGATCGGCCTCTTCTTCGACATGAGCCTCGGCAGCCTGAGGTGGTCCAGCGGCTCCGTCTTCACCACCCCCGTGTGGAGCCCACTGCCCGTCTTCAAGGAGGGCCTCTGTGCCACGCTGTACTCCGTGGCCCTTGTCCCCAGCCTGGGCGCCGCCTCGTGCACAACTCAGAAGCCCTTCATCTGCTACTACGGTGTGTTCCCGGCCGTGCTCCAGGCTGCTCGTCAAGAGCAGACGAAAGCGAGGGAGCTCGGGGCTTTCTGAGGATAACCATTACCTTAGCTCCATCTGCCACCTTCCTCTCTGCGGCCTGACTTTCTATCCCTTCTGAGAAACATTTACCAGTCAGGGCAGAGAAAAAGTAGAATCTGGGAAGTCCCACTTTGTCCCCTTCTTCTGACAATAAAGGGTTTAGGGGAAGAGAAAAAAGAAAGGGAGGAGAAAGGCAAAGACAGTTTGGGGGGGGTCATTTGCACCCATGCAGAAAGGAGGGAATCCAAGGTCTGTCACCTTCTCACCAATCACAGGGTGCTTTTGTCTCACGGGGGTGGGGGAGTGTGGGACAGCCACTCTCTGGGGGACCCCTGCTTCTGGGAAGTAGGTGGGTGCAGCCGGCTCTGGGGGTGTCTCTGCGGGAAATCCACCATCAGCAACTCAGTGCACAAGGTGCTGGTCCCCGTGCCCCCGGCTGGCCCTGCCGCCCAGGCGGCCCACTGCACTGACCGCTGTCTGAGGTCACAGCGGGGGGCGGCGGTAGACCAGGGAGCACTTTCCTGGTGAGAACTGCCAGTCTCTGCTTTTCGCAGTCAGTCACGGCCCAGCTCAACACCATAGCGCCCCAACCCCTCCCACAGAGGCACAGAGGACCGAAGTGATGAGTCCCGTCTCTCCACCGCGCCTGCCCGGGGCCTTGAACTGTCGCCCGCGGTGGCGGCCCAGGTTTAAGTGAGGGTTCCGAATGCAGTGGGAGTGGCAGGCGAGGATGGGAGCCCCCCCCCCCCCCCCCCCCCGCAAGGAAGGGTGTGCGAGGCACTTCCCCACACTCCCTCTGGTGTCCTTGGGCTTCACCCAGACGTCCGACTCCGCCCTCGTCTCCCCTCTCTGCCCAAACGATGAACTCGCAAACATGGAAGCCAGACAGACCACTCCGCTTAGACCCACACATAGGTCCCTTAGAGTCACGCCCCTTTGGTAGCCACCAGGCCCTGCCTGATCTCTGTGGCCTCATCTCCTACTTCTCTCCCTGGCCGCGCTGGTCGCTTGCCGCTTCCCGAACCCTCAGGGCCCCTTCCCGCCTTAGGACCTGGCCCCGGCCTGGCCGGGGTCTCCCTTCCCCGCTCCCGCGCAAGGCGCGTCCTTCCCGAGTTCTCTCTGACCGCAGAGACGCCGCTTGTCTCCTTTCTGCCATTTTTCTCGGGCCTAGAACAGCGTCTGCCACACGACAGAAGCGCCATAGATACATATTCACTAACTACACGTAAATAGGGACACAGGGGCCTGTCTGACCCGAGGTGGGCTTCCCCCAGCTTCAAGGTGGCAGCTCCCAGTGCCCGCGGAGGATCCCTCCCGGGCAGCCCTCTGCTGCCCAGGAACTCGAGCTGTTTCTGTTTTCCAGACCCTGACAAAGGGCACGGCAGCGTCATGGAGTCCGCTCTCAGCCTGACCACCTCTCCAAAGCCAGGTGCGCCCCAGGAGCCCCGCCTTCCCCCGGGCCCACCCACCAGGGCCTGTGGGCGGCCCCCCCCCCCGCCTGGCTGAGGGATCCCCTCCCTGCTTTGCTGCCCCCAGGCTGACGCCCCTGGAGGGAGTCAGTGCCTTTACTATTCAATGGACCCAGAGCGGGAGGTGACTCGATCGAGGCCTCCAGCTAGACTGTGGCCCGGCTCAGGCTGCCTCCCAGCAGTTCGGATGCCCCCCCACCCTACCTTGCTGGCTTGGGGGTGAGGGCGTGGGTGCCACCTCCTCACAGCCCAGGCCCTTCCGTCTGGTGAGGGGGGCTTCCCCTCTGGATGTCACCGCCCTGGTGTTTAAAGATGTTCCCCTCCCTCTCTGGGGTAGAGAAATTCCACGACAAAGGAAATGCACTCCCACTCAGCCCATGCTGTGGAGTCGGTTTTCTGAGTGTTACGGGCCGGGGGGCTGTAGTGCGGAAGTGACCGTTGTCCAAGGCAGGCACACCTGCGTGAGACGCTCACCTTGCCGCGTAACGAGGCCTGAGCTGGGGCCAGTCGCCACCTCCGGGGGCTTTCTTCTCTCCCCTGTAACGTGAGGTCGGTAGGACCCACTTCTCAGGTGATAGTGAGGATTCAAAGGGGATGTGTCCACATGCATCGCTCAGGGCCGGTGAGCAGTAGGTGCTGAATGACGGCTAGCTTTCAGCGCCAGTTTAGAGAGGGAAAGCGAGGGACCGGCAGGCAAAGCCTGATGGGCTCCGGGAAATGGGTTTGGGTCGGAGAGTTGGGGGAGGGGGGACCCATGTGAATCTGAGGACGTGACTCCCAATTCTGCAGACAGAGGTGTTTCCTCTCTCGGGTCTCCGGGATCAACGGCTCAGGCGGTGCCAGAGCACGCCCTCTCCAAACCTCCGCCGCGGGGCATCACAGCTGAGCGGTCTCTCTGTTCTTGGCCCCCAGCGGTGGTCCAGATCGGCCAGCGGACCTTCCGGCGGTATGACCAAGGAGTGACGTGGCTGGCGGCCCTGCTGCGCTGCCGTGCCCACCACACGGACCTGGCCGACCTGCAAGCGGTGACGGAGGAGGACGCCAAGGGGGCCCTGAGGTCCGTCACCAGTGAGACGGAGGCCTGGATCGGCCTCTACTTCGACGCAGCCTCTGGGTCTCTGAACTGGTCCAGCGGCCTGGGCGCCAGCATCCCCGAATGGCTGCGGGTGCCCCAGTTCGGGATGGGGCTGTGTGCGGGGCTCGGCACCTACTACAGCTACGCCCCCAGAGTGCGCTCACAGGCCTGCTCTTCCCTGCGGCCGTTCATCTGCTTCTACGGTGCGTGGGGGTCCGCCCCACTGGCCCTCGGCCCGCCAGGGCCGCACGGGGATGGGGAATGGGCTTGCCCGGCAGCAGGAGACGCTGAGGGTGGACCTAAGGAGGCCCTTCCAGTCTGAGGGTGACGGAGTCCCGGAGCAGTGTGTATGTGAATTCTGGGAGCTCCTTAAAGAGTGGCCTGGGGCCCCCTGCGGCCTCAGGGCATCAGCGGTTAGCGACAGGACTTAGGCATCGGCGACGAGGTAGCTGGAAGCCCGGCTTTGGTCTCACTCACACGGACTGTGCCGCCTGCTAGAAGTAGGTGGGCAGCGGCTCCCAGCCTCCCCTTCCTCCTCCGGAGAACAGATTCCACAAAAGGGACCGAGGACCCACTTCCCCGGGCCCCTCCGAAGCCAGGTGAGGACGTCTGTGCAGACCTGGCAGAGCCCCTGGCACCGAGGAGGCCCCCGCCAGACATCAGGGGCTGTCGTTGCTGTCACCGCGACTGCATGGAGCTGGCCGTGACCCTGCTTCCCCCCCACCCCGCCCCCACCCCGGTCCTTCTGGGTCTGTGTGCAGGATGTCTCCTCAGCAGCAGGCCTCGCACCCTCATCTTTTCTCTCTTTTTTATTTTTCCTCCCGCCCTTCCTTGTAACAGCCTTTTGGGGGTGTGATATAACTAATGAACACACCTTAAAATTCACTCTTTGGAAGTGTCCGGTTCAGTGGGTTTCAGCACAGTCCCAGGATTGTCCAATTAGCACTACCTAATTTTACACATTTTTTTATCAGCCCCAAAGAAACCCCTTCCTCTGTAAAACAAGAACACTGTGTCCTCCCTGGGGGAGCCGTTGTGAGGATTAAAGACGTGAAAGTCCCTCTCCCTCGGTGGGTGCAGGTCGGAGTGCGGTGACACAGGCGCCCTCCTGGGCGTGGTTGCTGTGGCGGAGGCTGGCCCCCCGGCAGTGCCCCTGCCAGGCCTGGCGGGTGTGTCCGACCTGGGGGAGCCGCAGGCCCCTCACACTCCTGTTGGTCTTTGCTTGCAGACCCCGCCATCGGACACCGGGTGTCGGCGGCGCTGCCCCAGCTTAGCTACATCCCCTCCTCAGAAGAGACCGTGGGGACGACGTCCAGGCCAGGTACGCTCCCCGGTGTTCTGCTCTGTAGGGGCGCTGGCCCAGGTCTTGGCTGGGTCCCGGGGTGTCCAGGGCCCGGGAAGAGGAGAGGGTGGTGTGTAGGCAGCAGCGCCCGGTGGGTCCCACAGGTGCTCCCAGAGGGACTGGGGAGAGGCTGGAACAGAGGTGAGCCAAGGGCCACTCACACAGAGAGGGATTTCCCTGTGCCCCCCACCCGGCTGGCGAGCTGGGGTGGGCACAGGGAGGCCTCGGTCACCGTCAACCTCCCCCCATGAACTGGGCCACGGAACGTGCAGTTCCGGGACCAGGGGACCCACGACAGGCAGGGCAGTCTCTCAGGTGAGGGCACCAGGGCCTGAGACAAGAGCAGAAAAATCATCAGAGGCCCCCGAGGCCGGGTGCCCAGAGAGAGGCAGTGAGAGAGGGGCCGCTGGGACCCCTTCCAGTGTCGGGCTCATCTTCTCAGACGGGGGCCGAGCTGTGGGGACGCTGCGCTGGCGACATGGCTGGGGATGACAGCGACGGCATGCTCCTTGAGCGTTTTTTAAATTCCTGCAACGTCTTCACGGCTATTGCCCCGCTTTGCTTCCCCTGGAGTCGAAGCCAAGTAGGATCACTGAGGGCAAACACACAGTTGTCCTGGCTGGCTTCTTCCCAGATTCCTGCCCCAGACAAAAGTGTTACTGCCTTTTTGGAGGACACGGAGAAACCAAGGGGACATGCTCACATCCTGGGGACGCAGGGAGAAGGCAGGGCCCGTTCTGAAGGAGATGACAGCCGCTGGGGAGGCAGTGGTGAAAGGCGGTGTTGCTTGTGTAGTCTCAGGCATGACGGGGACACAGAAGGGACGGGCCCAGCCCTTGGAGGTACCAGGGGATTTCCCTCCCAGAGTGGGTGGTTTTGAACGCAGAGGCGTTAGCTTCCAGTGGGGAGTGGAGGTCGGTTCGGTGGAGCTTGCAGGTAGGAGCTGCAGGTGGACCGGGGCGCTGACGGGAGGCCCAGATCCTGCAGGCGCCACCTTCTCTGAGCGGTCCTTCACCCCGCAGGCCACAGCGCCAGGGGCGTCTGCGGTCAGATTTGGTTCAGGAGCACGGAAGAGCCGTCTTCTGCTCTCCATGTAAGGAAGGTCTCAGCTGACTCCCGGCGGCCCCAGGCCCGCTGGCCACCCAGGCAGGCGGACCCAGCAGGTTTAGGGGGTCCTCCCTCCTCACCTGTCACAGTGGGTGTGTAGGGCCGGGCACCCGGAGCCATAGGGCTGCTGCTAGGCCCTGGGGGCCACAGCCCTGTGTGTGGTTCTTCCCTCCTGTCTGCGCCCTGTGTGTCTCTTCCCCAGCTACGACTGCTGGGCGACCCCGCCGGTATTCACGGAAGCCCCTCTCCGGCCGCAGAGACCAGCGCCCACCCCGAGGCTCCCGCAGCCCGCCCCAGAGCTCTTGCCTCCGAGGTCCCTGCTGCTCCCCGGAAGCCAGGAGCTGTGGCCCCGTGGGACGCCTCTGTCCCCAAGGACGGACCCTAGACCACGCTGCTCACTGCCCAGAGCGTGACCTCGCACACCCACGGGACCCTGTGACCAACTGCAAACCCGTGACTCCGTGGGAGGCAGCGACAGGCCCCTAGCTCAGCTCCCCACCCTTCCCAGTGGTGCCTCAGTTTCTCCCAGGGCAGCGGTACCCCTGCGTCAGCCACGTACCTCCAGCGGGTCACGCGCCCCTGGGCCACCTGGGAGATTTCTGGGGCCTTCCGGTTCAGGGGATCCTGCTGGGCTGGACAGCCCCCTGCGCGCCTCACGCGCGGGGACTGCTGGGAGCTGGCCAGGGCCGCGCCAAGTGCCCTCCCGCATGCAAAACTGGGTCTTACCAACCCCACGTGGCCCGGCCCCAGAGCCGGGCTCCTGTTTTGGGAGCCCCAGCCCTCGCCTCCCTGCCCAGGTGCGGCTGGTTGAGACCCGGCAGGTGGGGGTGTGCCGCGCCACAGGCTCCCGCCCTGGGCTGCACTCCCGTCCACTCTCCAGGGTACTCCGACTGCCAGGGTCCCCACTCACCCTCCCAAACCCCCTGATAATTGTTTAGGGTGGGTGATCTGGGGGAGAAGCAACCTACGTGGCTGCAGGAGAGGGAATGTGGGAATGTCAGCTGTACTGCTCACTGCGTGGCCTCGGTCCAGTTCCCCAACCTCTCGGAACTGCGTCTTCCTCATCTTTGAACTGAAGACAATTACCGTCGCCCAGAGGCATCTTTCAGTGCCTGCCATCTGGCAGATACTCAATGGTAGTCATTACCACTTGAATCTCAATTCACTGGTGAGATGATCAGTGATTCATTCATCTCCTCTGTCCTTACCTTATTGGACAGACAGGGCTGGCCTCGTTCTCGTCTTATTAATTATAAATGATTACGAATGGTTGCAATCACGAATCAGGGAGACTGCGGAGTCTCAGAGGCAGGGACCACGTTACACCCCTCTTGCGTGTTTCCCAAGCCCAGCACAGTGTTTTGCGCGTTGGTAGGTGATTTAATTCAACGATCATTTCCCGAGGGTCTGTTCTGACTGAACAAGGCATTGAGCTGTGGCTACCACGACCACCAGGACCTCTCCCCGTGTTTAAAAGTGCTTAGGCTACCAGGGGCCGACAGAGACCGCCGGGCCGCCTGGGGGCGCTGCACTGTCATTCTGCCCCAAGAAGGGGGTGCGGCAGTCCCCCTGCCCCCCACCCCCATCCAGGCTTTCACCGCCCTGAGTTTGTTAGCTGTGGTCAACCCACGGCTCAAAATAAGCATTCGATGGAAAATTATAGAAATAAACAATTCGGAAGTTTTACATTGTGCCACGGTGCTCTGAGCGGCAGGATGAAATCTCGGGCCGCCCCCCTCTGCCCACACCGGACAGCAGCGGTTATCACCAGGGGCGCCACGAGAATGTTTACAACGTGTGACACCGGGCTGTTCAGTCGGGGCACCCACCCCTTTTCCCTTCGGCTAGCCAAAAAAAAAAAAGAAAAAAAAAAGACAACAGCCAACACAACAATAGCTGTCTGGTGTGAATGAATCAAACTTCTACCCATCTTTTTTGTCAGATTGGCAACATATATATTTTTTGGTGTGCTGCAGAATTTTAGTAATTAGTTCGTGTGCCACGAGATGAAAAAGGTGGGAAATCGCTGAGACAGAAAAGACCGCATCCACAGAACTTTTATGATACTGTATAGTTACAACCGTTTTATTTTCCTAGTTACTGTTGTTAATCAATCTCTTTGCTTAATTTACAAATTAAACTTTATCATAGGTGTGCACATATAGGAGAAACAGCGTGTGTTAGGGTCTGGTCCTCTCCCCGGGTTCAGGCGTCCACAGAGGCAACGGGAGCAACACGTGTTCCCCAGGGATACGGGGGGCCGCCGTCACCGGATGAAAGTTAGCGGGGGACTTCCTCGGGCAGCAAGGAGTAGAGGGGTCCTTCCTGGCAGAGCGATCGGCAGGGACAAAGGCAGGTGGATGGAGGCTGTGTGGTTTGCGAATGGCAGGCAGCCTGGTGTGAGCGGATGTGGGTCAGATTTGGGGGAAGGGCGGGGAAGGGGTGAGTGGAAAGAGGTAGCCTGGGGCCGGATCCCAAGGGCCTGAGCCTGCTGCAGCCCGCACTGGGGCCTTCGGAGGCGCCTGGCCAGTGTGCAGAACGCTCCGATCTGCAGGTAACAGAAGCCGGGGGGAGTCATGGTGACCTGGGACGAAGGACCGTGTTGAGATGCCGGAGAAAGAAGCATGACTCACCCTCCCACAGGCAACACGGTCACAACAGTGATGGAGGGGATATCCGTGGACTGAAAGGACATGTGGGACAGTGTTCACGGTGGTTATATTCGGGCGATGCGATGTGAGTGTTTCCAGACTTCACAGATAATTCATTTAGCCAGAGGCACTCACGGTGCTCGGGCGGGGAAAGAGGAGGTGGCCCGGGCGGAGGTAGGGCTGTCTGTGTGGGACAGACTGACAGATGCGGCTGGCGGTGGGGGGGGTGGGTGGGACCGGGCCAGGTCGGGAGTGGCAGCAGGGGAGGGCACACGAGGGGCCAGATTTCCCGCCGTGTACGAGTGACGGTCACTGAAGCAATGTATATGCAAACACGTTTAGAGAGAAATGCCCGGCTTTGTTCGCTTTATCACAGAAATGCAAATGAAGAGCAAGAGGCATTTTTCCCCGTAACTTTTTTCTACTTACCTGTTCGGCAAAGATTTAAAAGGGCGATAAAGCCGAGGAGAACGTGGGAGAACTGGCGCTCTCAGACACTGGCGAGGGGAGGGGCTGGCGCCGCCACCCCCGCAGCGCGAGTCCGCTCCGGGAGGCGCGCACCCTTCCGCGCAGGAACGCTGCCCGTGGGCCCGTATTCAGGACACGTGTACCAGGAGCACACGTGTCCACGCACTCTCCACACACAGCTTGCTGGGGCAGCCTTGTTTATCACACTGGACAACTGGAGGCAATCTAAGGCCCACTGAAAGCAAACTGGTTAAATGAGTTTGGGTACATTCAATGAAATGCTGCGCGGCCTTGAAGGAGAATAAGGTAAATCTTGCTGCAGTCAAAGGAAAAAAGTTCAAGTTAACAGTGGCTCTCCCTGGGCCGGGGGGAAAAGTACCTTACATACTTAACAACAATATACCCTAAAAGCAAATGGTTATTTCTATACTTTAAATAAAAAGACATCTGCAAGGCACTGACAGGACTTTGGCGGCTGAGCCTGAGAGCCAGTGACCGGGGTGAGGGAGCAGCCGAGGGTGCCCGGTGTCGCTGGCCGGGGCCTCAGCAGATGGGCAGCCACACAGGGCAGAGGAGGCTGCTGGGGGGAGGCTGAGCTTGGCTCTGGAACACTCTGAGTTTGAGGTGCTGCACCTTGATGGAGATGTTGGGGGCCCCTGGGTGCTAGCTATGGTGGGGCAGCAGCATAAGGGCTGGTTCCCCCGCCCCGGGGAGCACGTCAGGACTGGAAGGTTCCTGTCTGCAGCACCTGTGCAGCCCGTGCCCGTCTCCCAGCACGGGGTGGTCACCGACCTCAGACTGCCCTGCTCCCCAAGATCTTTGCCATGACTCCTTTATTCCCCAACCCCCCCGCAGCCGTGAAGCCCAGCGGCAAGCCCAGTGAAGGAGGTGGCACTGGTGTAACAGACACAGCCACGGCCACTCAGGCCCAGCACGTGAGCACATCCAACCACCCGAAGTCGCAAGAAAAAGCTACAGCATCAGAATCAGGTAACGGCTTCTAGTCACCAAGTTCCTACTCTTGTCAACCGAGCAGTTCAGACAGCCACCCTATTTAGCGCAGAGTACCCGAGACCTTGCTTTGAAAGACAGCGTGACACGTTGGGAGGGTTGCGAACAGCTATTAACAGGGGGAACGGGACCAGGGCCCTGACTATGGTGACAACACAGGGAGCATCTTCCTCCCTTCGGAATCTCCCGCTTCTCACCTGCAAAAGGGGACAGCAGGCACCACCCTGCCTACATCCCAGGGCGGCTGCAAACACCCAGGGAGGCGATTACGTGCTTTGTAAACTATCAGCGGCTGGACAAATACACAGCAGTCTGGGGTTGTGGGCCGGTGGTTCCTGGGATGACTTCCAGTGTGGCTCACAGCCCAAGGCCGAGCTTGGTCACAGGCTCAGAGGACTCCGAGCTTCCTGGGGCAGAGTGGCCCTTACAGACGCGGGCCCGGGGAGCGGCGCATACTTCCAGCGCGGCGTGCGGCACCTACTTTCACTCGAGTTATCAAAGGGGAGGGGGAACACACAGAAGGGAAGACTGCTGCCTGGTGGGGGAGGGGGCCAGCATCACCCACGATGTAAGACTCTCCTTCTCGCCACTGGCCAGTCGGTCCCAATCGGGGCTGAGCCTTCCCCTGCTCAGCAGCTTCCCTTGTCCCCCTCGTTGCAACCCTGAATCACCAGGCACCAACTACGGTGCCCAGTGTGTGCTCCCGATGGCCGAGAACTTGACCTTTTCAAGCGGCAAGAAGGTAACTTCCCCCGATCCAGGCAGCACGTGCTTTTCCAGGGCGGACCTTCGGGATCCTGAAGGCAGACTTCGCCCTCCCAGCTACGGCAGACCCAGAGGACATGAAGGAGCAGTTTCTGAGTGAGGTGAGCCTTCTGCCCGCTTCTGATGGGGACCAGTCAGGCCGCTGAACAGGGTGAGGCAATGCTGTCGAAACCCAGACAGTGAGAGTGGGGGGAGGCTCTGCAAAAGGAGCCCGTCTGTCCCCGCCGCCACCACTGTGGCTCAAGGTGAAAGACGGGATCGTGTGCCGAGATCTTTTCAGGCCTTTTTCTTACTCTCGCCCCCAATTTCCCTGAGCTCACAAACGAGCAAACAAATGCAGCATAGTCAGAAGGACCTGAACTGGGGTCTTGCCCTTCCACTTACCAGTTAGTTGAGTGACCTTGGGCGAGTAATGCCATCTTTCTGAGTCTCGGTTTGCCCATGAATTAGGAACGACAGTCCCTAACTCATATGGTTGGTGCTATGATTCAGTGAACTATTCCAAGTGCTTAGCAAACGGGCACGCGGTACGTGCTGAAGAAACATAAACATTGGCTCTAATAATCGTTATCGACATCATTCCCGTTCATGACATGCGTTTCTTCCAGGCTTTTTTCCCCGTTTTTTTGTTTTTTTTTTTTTAAGTATATGAGATAGATTGTCAAGAGGAAGAATTATTCATCAATATTGTGACAAAAACCTCAAGCTGATTTCAAATACGGCCTCAGGGCACACATTTCAGTTACATCAGAGAACCATGTAATATCAGAGCCAGAGCTCCTTGAGGGTCATCCAGCCCAAACCGTAATTTTATGAAGGAGGAAACGGATTGGCATGTATCTGGTCGCTCACGGCACTGTCCTCACGGGCCACAGAGAGACACCCGGACCGTGTATTCTAGAGCCTCACGAACTCGAGATGCTGGAGGGAGCGGCGGGGTGCCGGTGCATGCCCAGCAGGGAACAGGGCGGGGAACTGGAGCGCTCTCACTGCCTTCTGCTCTTGAAGGGAGGACAGGTGCTGGAGATGCAATTCAGCATCTGATACTTTTTCTTTTTTCTTTTTTTTTTGAAAAAGTGCAAGTAATAAGACTGCAGTGCTGAGTACAGGTCTATAAAAGTCAAGGACTTTCTGGGGGAGGGGTGGGAGGACCACACCAGAAGCCATGTACCGTCTGTTTTAATTCAAAGCCAATCACAGGAAGATCGGGGCCAAAACGGGTGATTCTGCCTCCTGGTCACCTTCATTGGACTGCACCTATCCCTTGTTCATGGAGAGAATCTCTACCTCGTAGATTTAAAGAACGGAACTGGTGGGGACCAGGTGGGTGGAGGGGAAGGTGTATCACCAGTTTCAGCAGCATTTTAACATTCCAAACAGAAGGCAAGTACCGGTGGCCAATTGACTGCAGTTCCAGGGACCGGGACAGAGAAATGTTGTCACACACACACACACTTGCGCGTGCTCGCACTCAGGGTGCTCAGAGCCCCACGGGGACGAGTGGCTGTAAACCCTGGCTGAGGCTGGACCCCGCCCCCTGGGGACGCCCACCGGAAGCTTGGCTGCAGCCCCCGCCGCTACTTTCTAACAATTCCGAAGTGACTCTGACGACCAGTCCCGACTGAGAAGCACCGACCGATCGAGTCCTTCGCTGTAGCCTCCTTTGTCATCAGGCTTTCTCATTTTGGCGGGGGTGGGGGCGGGGAGGGCTTGGTGGTGGAGATGACGAGGTCACAGGGAGTAGTAACAGTTTTTCTCCTTTTGGTGTTTCAGATCCAAGAAGTCCTAAAGCTGACGCTGGGTCACCAGCGGTTCAGGCTGACGTGGGTCGGCCACGAAAGAGACAAAAAGTAGCTCACGCCTGCTGATCCGCGGTCTCCTTCTCACGCGGTCTTGTCTGGGTTTGAGTGAATCTGCGTTCTCTTAATGTCAAGCACCTCAGAATGAGAAGGAACCCCAGAGCCCCGGAGAGGCCAGGCTAAGGGTGGACCTTAGATCTCCTCCCGGCTCCAAAGAAAACCACACCCGCAACCTGCACCCTTGGGACTTTGTAGAACTCGGCAGGGGAACCAGAGGAGGGGTTTGGGAACACTAACTTTGAGAACGACACGCAAACAAGAGCAGAAAAACAGAAACTCTGAAACCAACCCCATGGACCTGGGGGACTAGGACAGGACAGTGGTGGCCTGGGACACTAATGGGGCCACGCTTCCAAACACAGTGGGTCCCTTCTTCCCCGGCGACAATCGACTAAAGGGGTTTCAAATTCTCCAGGACGAGGAGCTCTCTAGGGCGTTAGCACAATACCACACCAGATGTTCCTGCTATCTGTCCCGAATCTAAATATTTCTTACCTGTAAGTCGGGGAATTCTGAGGCATTGTTCTTAATGTTAAAATATACCTTCAGAAGAATGATCCTGCGAACACTGTTTTTTTCTGGTTTCTCGCCAAGGGTCCTAATCCCCCAGACGTGCACGAAGTAAGAGAGTAATATGTCACATACCACGGCAATGTTAGTCTGAAATGTTTAAAGTTTATTCATATTCTTTGTAGGATTATCAATAAAAGACCGCAAACGCATCGATATCTGTACATGTACAAGAACCATCAAAATTTATTCACAGAACAAAAATAAATCTTCTTTAGAACAAACCCAGGTAATGAAATGCGGGTATGGGTCTCACATAGGGAGCGGTCTAAGTGCTACCAGCACAAAAATATGGCTTTGAAAAGAAAATAAAACCTTGGCTTTTGTTTTTCTAAGGTGTATATCTCTCTCAAAATAAAAAATAAATTATTTAGAGCTATCGTTGTAAAATAGTTCTGTGTACCAACACACTTTTATTAAGGCCCTGGAGACGAGAAGGGAAAGCGAATTTAGGAGGTGACTTCCTCGCAGGTGTGACTGCGGAGCACCGTGCTGCTGTCCGCTGGGGCCAGTCTCAGGGTGACTGGGGGCTGCCTCAGCACCCACCGCTCGGCGTTCCGGCTCTCCTGTCTGTTTTAGCTTTTCTGCGGGGTGGCGGTCACGGGATTGATGAGCATTTAAAGCTTTGGGTGAACCGGGAACTGAAATCGGCCCCTTGGGAGCTCAGAAACGATGCGGGTGTGATCCTTATACACGCACAGGGGTGCCCCCGGGCAGCTAGCTGCTGGAGGCCTCTACGACACAGCGTCTGTGGGACTCGCTCCAACAACGGGGAAAGCGGGGTTAGGGCCCCAAACTAAAAAACTCCCCGGGGAAAAATGACGGCATCTGAATGGAAAATACGAACCGGGTAAGAAATTAAAATGCATGATGAAATGTGGGCAGAAACCACTATTTTGCGTTTCTTGGGTGGCGTCCTGCATTTGCCAGGTCCGGCCGGGTGACGCCTGAGGATTAACTGATCAGGAACCCGAACCCCACGGGGTTCGGCTGTCTTTCTAGGACTCCCCAGGGTGTCCGTAAGGAGATCTAGGGTTCTTGAGACAAAGTCAGGCCCAATCAACTTCAAGTTACTTTAACTTCTATGTGTACATACAGCACGTACGGTACATTTGGAAAGAGAGAGAACCGCTGTCACCAAACCTAACAAGTGAGAGACGACATTCTGAACCGCCCGAGAAAGTTGGGCATCGCCGCTCCGGGAGGCGGATTAACATCCAAGGAAGGAGGGGCCCTCGGGAGGGCGTGTATCGTGGGTGTGCCCGTGCTGCCATGGAAACCGCCTGTCCACAAACCTGCGTGTTTCAGGAGCAGGCAAAGCTGCCAACCCTCCTGCTCCCTCAAGCCCTTGGGCCCCCGAGAAAGAAGGCCGCTGGGCGGTGTGCCCTTGGGGGTCCCACCGTGTCCCTCAGGCTCTCTTGGGCCTCACAAGAGAATGCCCCTATCTCACGCAGATTTCACCACTTCTGCCTTTTCCTAAACTCGAGAGCTTCCAACGGGGTCCTGACCGTGCGTGGATGTTTCTAGAACTAATACCAATCACTTAAAGGTAAAGAGATTCTATGTAAAAATTCAACACCCCCAATATAGCTTGCTTTAAAAAAACTAATAAAATAGATCCTTTCAAGGGACATACCAATGGAAACATAGTACCCCGGATTCTTGGCCCCCAGGCAGGGGCGGGAAGGTCAGAGGTTACTGCTGGGGCAGGCGGGAGCGTCCCCACCAGCCAGAGGCGGGAAGGGCGGGGAGGAGAAGGCCCTTCCCGAAGTCTGTGGGAGGAGGCGGCCTCTGCAGGGGTGGCCCGGAGTCCAGTGGGGCTGTGGCCTGGGCCCCAGGGTTGCCGGGTCAGGCCCAGCGCCGAGTCCAGGCTGGTGCCAGGCCTGGGGCTCAGGGCCAGGCGGGACTCGGGACCCTGAGCGGGGTGCTGTCCCCAAGCCCAGCCCCACACCCAGCCTTCGTGGGACCTCCCGGCTGGAGACGACTGGAACCGAACTGTGGTGGGACTTCGGAGAAAGGTCCGCGCCCAATGCGTGTGCCTCCGAGGACAGCGCGTGTGCCGGGGGCCACAGATCTACACGTGCACAGAGGCCACGGGCAGAGGAAGACGCGAGAAGCTTGACTTCTTAAGTCAAGCCCGTTCCCAAGGGCGCCCAGCAGACATGCACAGAAAATCCCGCTCCCCCCTGCGCTGTCCCACAGCGGGCGGCACAGGGAGAGGTGGAAGCAGACCCTCGAGAGCCGGCTCTGCCCAGCTCGACACCAGGCGGGAAAAGCCCACGGCTGCAGCCGCACGCACCCCGCCCCCCCGCGGGACGTGGCCCCGGACCCCCAGGCAGTGCTCGGGTGTCTGCCACAGCTGCCTCGTTGGAAGCTCCCCTGTCAGGGCCCGCATGGCACAGACTCCGGGAATGTGTAACCTGATGGGAATCTAACTCTTTTCGCTGCATTGGCCCAGAGAGCGTATTGCTCCAGTGACAGACATGAAGCTCTTTCCCTGAACCCCACCAGCACTGTCCTTGGGAACGGCCACGTCTGGTGGTCGGCTGGCCAAGCACCCAGCCAGCGTGTCCCCTCACCTCCAGATTCCACAGCACCCTGGCGTCTGCTGCGCCCCGCGGTGCGGCGACGTGCTGGGTAGAGGAAGGGCAAGGCCCGGCCATCGGAACCCACCGCTCCTCCGCCAGGCGCCTCCTCCCAGCAGCCCGGAGGCCGGCACCCACCTGGGCCGAGGGGCAGCCAGCTCAGCAACACCGCCACAGAGAGGCGGCTGCTGCGGCCTCCTTTCTCCCACACGTAAGGGGAAAAAGCCTTTTAGCATAAGCTCTGTGGACTGCAGCGTTCTCTACAGAAAAAGCCAGAGAAATATTTGGATAGAAACAGGCTCAGAGGATAACCTAAAATTTAACATCTGGCAACAATGCTGGACTTGCAGCTTACCTTTATGGTTTTTTTACTCTCCTCATTCGAGATAACCTGACGGTAGAGGGCTGCCCAATCCATCCAAACATTTGGGCAGCTTCTAATCTCCCCAAGCAGGCAGCTCCCAGGAGCTCCCTCCCACATGCCAGCGAGATAAACTGCATCCACCAAAAACACAGTCCAGGTTCTGTGCCTCCCCCAGCCCCGCAGCGCAGGTGAGGTCATCGGCTCTCTGTAACCCACAGCCAACCCCCGAGAGCTTCCAAACCTCACGCAAGGCCGCACCAGGTTACACACTTAGGCCCTTGAGAACTGGTGGACCTGTGGTTGCACTCCACCCTCCCAACGACGGGCACTGCTGCAGAATTGGTTACTTCTTTTCCCCATTAAAGTAAGTGATTTCACCAGTGTGCCCTCGGCGTGGCAGGGAGAGACGAGAGTATGTAAAATAACTACCCAGGGTCCAGAGGGCACGGGGGCACTGGGCCCGTGGGCACAATGCCTGCAGGTCAGACACCCGCCACGGGAAACCCGTGTTAGGTGTCTGCCAGGCACCGGTGGGAGTGTGCCGGAGGGGAGTGCTTTCAAGGGCCGTGGGTCGGGCCGTGGGGAGGTGGTGGAGACGCAGGGGTCCGGCGCAAAGACCCACTGCGGGAGGGCGGGGCGAAGGCGTCAGAAGGCGGGCTGGGGCACAGTGGAGGGGACGCCCGGTGCCGCTGCCTGGGCTCCGCCAGGAAGAGGCCCCGACGGCCACCTGCCCTCTGCTCCCTCCCGCACTCCCGTCCCGCAGAAACACCCACTCCACGCCCGCGGCTCCCTCGGGTCGTGCTATTTCCTCCTCTCCTTTTCCTTTTAAAACACTTCCTTACAGCTTATGATTTAAAACAAACATCAATAGCTTATTTGAGAAGTGTTCTTTCTCAATAGAAACTGCTTAGATCTTGCCTAAAGACATTCGAAACCCTTTTAACGTCGTACCTCACAGCACGCAGGGCATGGACGTTTCCTGTCTGTGCGGTTACACGCACACGCGTGTGGCTAGATAGGTAGGCACGTCTGCATTTGTAATGGCTAACAGGTACCACTCCGTGCTTCCGACCATCCGGCGTGCGTTCAGGATGACATTGCGCACACCTTCGGAAAAGAGGAAACCGGTAACTGGCCTCCGTGACCGTTTCTGTCCCGCGATAAAGCCGATGACAGCCGGCGACAGGGGCATTGCTGACATGCCCACTGAGAGCATGGGGACGCGCTGCACCCCTAAAAGGAACTTCTGGGGTTCTTTTTTTACAGAAGTGATCCTCCCTTTTCAGAGAGTGACACCTCAGGTTTCGATTTCCTTTCCAAATTCTACTGCGGGGACTAGAGAAAGAAGCATTTTAAAAGTTAAAGGTTGAGATCAGGTTACCCTGCCTAGAGATACGCTTAATACAATGAACAAACTCTTTATCCCAAATAAAAATTATAATTCACACATAGAAATTTCCTTAAAATAGCAAATACCCCGAGATTCCTGCTACGGTGTGGTTAGCCCTTTTCTGCGTGGAAGAAAGGGGGCCCGTTTGGGAGGGCCCGCGGCCAGCGGGGCAGCGGAGCCTGGCCGCGGAGAGCAGGCCCCGTGGGCGGCGCTGGGCCGCCATGCGGGCGAGGGAAGGGCTGTGGGTCGGGGAAGGTGACGGTGGTGTGTAGACACACAAACGTTTATAGTTCTGTAAACTCTAAAGGAGAAAAAGAACACCCTTTATTAAAACTGGGGTGAAAAAGAGCCCCCCCGTCTGAAGGGGGCCTTCCCCGGCGGCTGCAGACGGAAGGGAATGAGCGTCACCGGGAGTTCGGCGGCCGCGGCTCGGCCGGTCCAGTCTGGGCGCAGGTCTGGGTTCGAAGCAGCGCCTCCCAAATCGGAGTGGCTGTCCGTCCAGAGCCGGTCTTGGCCGATCGGTGGGGTAAAACGTTCTGTTTGGGTCTTAGTTACTTTCATGTTTCCCTAAGGACGAGGGGGTGGGGGTGGGGTTTTTAACTGGCAGATGAATCCCTGAAAAACTCATCCTGACAATGTCCTATTGCACGCTGTGCACCTCTACCAGGCAGACGGACAGAGAGACGGGGAGACAGACACTGGGTTTCTACCTACTAAACCTCGGGGCTCACTTCTCACTCACACACGGTTCCTACCTGCCTTCTCTTCGCAACTGCAGTGCTTTCAACGAGAGGAAAACAATAATAAAAATAGCAATAATTAAAAAGGTAATCTACATTATTAACTTCCAGTGGGTGGGTATATTACAGGGGGGGTTTGCTGTACACGGCCCAGAACTCAGTCCCCTATGTACACGGAGGCATGGGGGAGAGCGGCCACCTCGGAAGTCTTAGCCTCCTGCCCTGGGAGCCAAGGTTCCTCCTTCATCTGGGAGCTTCTCGCCGCACACACGGCTGTTCTGGATGAAGTGGCGACATTCCGGAAACCCGGGCGGGCTGGGTGCAGGCCGGGTGCAGGGCTGGGCGCAGGAGCGTGGGCATGCTTCCCCCCGTCTCCCCCCACGGCCTGGCTGGCCCCCGAGGCCGTCAGCAGCTGCTGTTTTTGAATTCACCATTCTCCGTGATGGAAAGCTTGGTGGGGTGGGTGGGCGAGATGCCATTGCGGACCTGCATGCTGTAGCGCTCCTTCACCTGCGTCAGCGCGCTCATCAGCCTGGTGTTGGCCGAGTCCAGGGACACGATCCGTTTTTCCTGCAACACACCGATCACGGCTTTACTCGGGCTGCACTCGGGGGACCACGCGGACTCGCGCTCTCTGGGGGGACTGTTCTAACGCTCGCTACCACACAGCCGCACGCAGGACGCTTTCCAGGCAAATGGAACGTCTCTGCCTCTTTCTGCACGTGAGTCAGGTTCAGCTGCCCCTGAGCCCGACGGGTCTGTGTTCATTTTCTCTTTTCTTTTTCTCCTTCAGCACAGCGGGGTTTGTTACCAACAACCCCTCGGGACGCTGGGGTACCACATAAAAATGACACCACGCGTTACCTCAGACCACGCGACACAGGGGTCAAGCTGCCTGACTGCGGTAAGGGCTTTTGGTCGGAATGAAAACGTGGAAATTAGGCGGCAAAGAAAGAAGCACCAGAGGTTTCATTTCACGGAGGAGAAGTGCAAGTGATCCGTGGGCTCCGAGCCCCCAGCGCGGGTGGCACGTCAGTCACATTTGCAGAGGACTCACACTGTGCTCAAAATTAAAAACAGGACATGGTGGCAGCCGATAGTCACCGACAAAGTGAGGATGCAACACGCAAGAGGGGGGGAAGCAGCCAGAAGCTCAGACCGGGGAGTTACTCGGATACGGGGAGGGAGATGTGGCCGCAGGGGTCGCCGTCGACGTGACACAGGAAAACAGACAGAGACACACGCTCCTGGACTCATTCCAGCTCAGAGCCACTCCAGGAAAGCCGCCCGACGCGGGGACGGCTTTTCCCTTTAGTTTCGAGTCTCTGAAAAAACAGAAGCTTTAGAACCATATTTTGGAACCAGAGGTTGTTGAACATGCACACACGAAAAATAAAACTGAGGGAAAAAAGGGCCCCAAAAAAGTGTGTGTGGGGAGGGTGCAATCTCAAGAAAAGTAGCCCCATCTAAATGAAAGACGGAAAAAAATCACCCCATCGAAGTATTATCCGCCTCACAAAGATCAGGAGAGAAACCCTAACCCTAGCTTCGGCAGCTAGGTGAGTCATTCCAGGAGGTAACACGGGAAAGCGCTGGCTCTGCCTATGGCCCTGCCTATGGCCCTGAAACTAAAAAGGGAACAGCAGGACGGACCAAGTCTCCTAAGCCCGAGGGCGCTTTCCTCCCCGGGAGTGCCTGCACCCACAGGGCTGGGGCGTGGGGAGGGGAGTCCCTGCCAGGCTCCCGAGGACACAGGACTTCCTGCTGCTCCTCGAAGTTGCAGCAGCAGCCACATAGGGCCCTCGGGGCGTCCTCGGTGGGGACCTTGCTGCAGGGGGTGCAGAGTAAAGACTGCCACCTGGCGGGGGGGTGGTAGGTAAAAGCACCTCCAACAGCAGCCAGTGACGCCTCCCTGCTGTGGGGCGGGGCAGGGTCCGCACACAGCAGTGTGGTCCTCAGTTTCAAAGGTATAAAAAAACCCCAGCTCATGCTATTATCATTAAAAAAAAATTCCTCCTTCCCCTGATGCAGAACTCAGGGAGTCAGGTACCCCAAATCAGCATTATTAAATAACCAATAATCTAGACTAACATGCATTTGACTTTGGGAAGGTGAGTACCTCATTGTAAGGACAAAACTCAAAGAAAGGAAGATCTGTAAGGCTCTTAAAAATAATAATGAAAAAATCACAGCCGACGGAATTTACTGGGATAATAAGTATAGAACGTTTCTGGTCAGCGGGTAAGGACAGGCCAGGGGTTCCCGGAAAACCCGGGGCGGGAGCCACATCTGATGTTTCGGCCTGTGGTTGGGAATGATCCCCACACAGAAAAAAATGTTACTTCTGGAAATGATGAAAAAAGCTATTTCAGCATTAGGATAATCTAGAAGGACCCAATACTAAGGAATGCAGGACTTTCCAGGTCTATCCAAAAAAAAAAAAAACGAGGCGTTCATTAAAAGTTATGTGATTCCTCAGGAGTCACGAAGGAGGCTGGGGTGACTGCCATCCGTTACTGCCTGCGAGGGGAGCGACGGAAGTCCGGCAGCCCCCGCACGGTGGGACATTGCCGAGGGCAGACAGTCCCTCTGTAGTTCCCCTCACTGCCAACCTCTCACGGTGAAACAAAACGGAAAAGGAGAAAAATCGAATGGGGACTTTTGAAAGTCAAGGTACATAGGCAAAAGAGGCTGCGACAGTGCGACTCCGGCCGGACGGGAGGGCAGGGCCCCCCAGTCCGGGCCGCCAGGAGGGCGTGGAGGAGGGGCGCGCGGAGCTGGAATGGGCAGGAGGCGGTGCACCGGGCCGGGGCGGGCTGCTCGGCTGGAGCGCGACAGGGTTTACTTGCCTGGTTGGATAATCTCATCTCCATTTAGGACCTGTAATTTAACACAGTGGAGGTGTCACTTGCCAACAGTAACTAGGCAGCTGCTTGCTTCTCAGAGGAGGGAGCCCTCTCCGTTCTCCACCTGAGCCGCACGGACAGATCCCGGGCGGGGAGGGCGTGAAAGGCGGCGTGGTCCCTGGTCTGACGTTTAAGAAACAGTCCCTTAGTGCCGCCGCCAGGATGCCCGCGGCCGGGCCACGGGATCCAGGACAGGGGGCCTGCCCTCCCTGGCGGAGAGCGCATCCTCTCTGCCCAGTAAGAAAGCCGCTAGCCCAGGCTGCCCTTGCGGCATGGCCTGGCCCTGAGAGGTGGAGAGGCGGCCTTCAGGCACCCGCCAGCCCAGTCAGGGCAGGGCCACCGAGAGAGATGCAAACCACTTCACCGGGCACGGCCTCGGGGTTTCGGGAAATGCCGGGCCCAACTCCAGGGTAAGGGGAGACACTGCACCCGTTTCAGAACTAGTTTTCCCACTAGTGGCCGCACCGAGGCAGCAGTCAGGGACACGGAAGCCTGGGTTCCCTCGCTGGGAAGCTTTCTCCCCCACGAGGGGTTCCTGCTCACCAAGGAAAGGACCTGATGTAAAATGCCATTCGTTACAAAGGGTGCTAAAGGCTGTTCATGGCCTTTCACTATAAAAGAGATTTTAATGTATCAGTACGACAACAGCTAGAACCAGGAAACCTGCCTTTTAAAGCCAGTATAATTAAAAAACAAAACAAAACTGGCTTCAGTGTGTTTGACCTGTGCTGCGCATGGTACAGCGGTTTTCAAATGTGGTCTGGTGAGTTTTCCTCCTATTCTTTAGGGGCCCACAGCGGGCTTCTGGGTGAAGATTTACTGCACAGCAATGCCTATGCTGGGATCGGGAACTGACTGTGCCCAGCCAACTCTGGTGTGATGTGACCTATTATCTGAGAGTGGTTCTTGGTGCTGAGTGGTCAGTAGGAGCTGCTGGGATCTGCTCTCTGGAAGGCGCCCCTGGTTTCACCCAAGTCGTCCATGGAATGGAGCCACCTGGAAAGCATGGCCTCGGGGGACGGACACAGAGCGTCACCCAGCTGAGCTAGAGCACAGGCCTGCTGCTCTGAGGGCGCTGCTGCTCCCGGTGCGGAACAGCCCCGCACGCCCACCTGGTTAACCGAGAGAAGGTCCTCGTTTTCCAGAGCTTTCAAGTCCTGATAAATCTGACGCCTTCTCTTGTTTTCACCTTCTCTGCCTAGGCCCCCTGTTGATACCCTGCCATCTTGCCCTAGGTGCCGAAATAGGAGGTGTGGTGGACCCCCAAGGGAGCTGTCTCAGTAAACGACGGAGAAAAGGAAAATCCTGGGTGCGGAGCCGTGACCACGGCCCCCCCGAGCTCCCTCCGCAGGCTGCGGACCCAGCTGCAGGCCAGCCGGAGCCGGAGCACAGCGGAACCCTCCTGGCTTCAGGGTGTCAACAGAAAATCCCAGGTGCAACGCACCCACTGGCCTTCCGGACCACGCTGCCCTCCTCCTTCTCCAGGCTGTTCCTCTGAAGCCCCGGGGACGGGTTTTCAGGGTACAGACAGCGAGATGGCCTTGCCTCTGCTGCTGCCCTTCCCGCACCCGCCCCAGGGGCGCCTGGCAAGGTGTTTTGTTTAAACAAAGGCCCATGTAAGACAATCACAACAGAGCTTTCTTCTAATACGAAGCAGGTCTAAATATCAGAAACTCTTGAAACGACAGCGTTCAAGAGTCCAGAACACTCTGGGCGCCAAGCTGATGCGAGCGCATGACCACCTGCTCGGCTTCCAGGCCGGGCGTGTGTGGGGGCTGGGCCACGCAGCACCCTCCCCGGGGCGCTGCCTCCAGGCTCACCCCGGTGCCTCCGGAGGACACGCCCACCCCAGGGACCCAGATGGCGGGGGCAGTGCTCGCTCAGGGACCCCGTGCAGGGAAGAGAGCAGGACACGCAGTCCGTGCTCCTGTTTTCACTTCCCTGCTTAGGGGTGTGGCATGCGTTGGAGGGTGACCAACTTGAGCCTGGCTGGGCTGTCTTCAGGGAACGGACACATTTAGTGGGTAGACCAGACATTCTCAAGACCGTCCCTGCCTTTTGCTACTTGTTTTGCTCTAAGAAATGTGACCTTATTTTGTGCCGATAAAATGAAAAGGAATGAGAAGCAATTTCAGCCTGCTGGATTTTGCTCTGACCATTGATGTGTCCCCGGGAGGTGCTCTGGGCGGCCGTCACGCCGTTCCTGGGGCAGGTATGCCCTACGGAGAGCGGAGGCCCGGACTCTGGTTCCCGCCACCGGAAGGGGCTCTGCACGCAGAGCCGACGAAGAAGGGCGACCAAGCAAACCCCGAGCGTCAATGCCGAGCCCAGAACCAAGGGAAGAAGAAGCCCGGAACCAAAGGAGTAACGAGGAAAGGGTCTTCTCCAACCCTGCCTGACCCCTGCGGTCCCATCGCTGTCTGGGGCTGGAGGTCGGTAGCACAGTGGACGTGACTGACAAGACCGTGAACATCGCAGCCAAGCAATGGTCGGTGGAGGTCACAAGCCAGACACATGCAGTGTACTTTTCACAGCTGCCCCCCCAGAGAGCGCCCCGCTTCCCGTCCGGAAGGACGTAAACCCCATCATGCACTGGGCCGGGACTTGTCAAGCAGCTGCGCTGAGAGCACGCTAACACTTCGCTGGGTCAGCAGGCTCGTCACCAGTTGGACAAAGGAGAAGTCAGAGGTCACATGGAAGCTCTTTGTCTTCAAAAGGTAACGCAGAGGACGTTCCCGTGACCCGTTTTCCCAGCACATGCCCGGCGTTTGCAAGGGGCAGGGGGCGTCAGAAAACAGCAGCGATTAGGAACAAGAGCCGACCACCACACTCCGGGCCCGCTTACCTGGGCGTCGATTATTTTCTGCTTTGCGTCGATGACTGCCTGCATCTCAGCGTGGTCCTTCTTCAACTCCTCTTCCACAGCCATTAGCCTAGAAGGGGGCAGGAAGGACCCTTCAGCGTCTTCAGAGAGGGGGCAAGACTGTGTGCGCAGAGGACTCGAACCCCCAGCTCGTCACAGCGCAGTCCTTCCACCCCTTCCCAACCGGAGGTCTGCCACCGTGCGCTCTCCCTTCTCTCCTGCCTCGGGAGACCGCCAGCGATGACTTCTCCGCCCGGGACTCGGTCCCGTACACTTCCTCTGGGACAGTATTCCCACCATCACATCCTCCCTCGGGCCCCTCAGCACCCCTTATTTCATCTTAAAACATCAAACCAGTCAACACAAGCCCAACGACTTCTAATCTCCAGTTACCCTGCGACGGCCGTCCTTTCTTCTCCCTTGCACAGCTGGGTCCTCAGAGAGGACTCTCCACGGAGCGGCTCTAATTTCTTCCTCCTCCGCCACGGACACCTTCCCCTCTGATGCTTAAATCCCACCCAACTGCTCTCGGTGAGACCCCGGACAGCTGACACAACAACCCTCTTCCGTCGTCCATTTATTGACCTGCCCGCAGCCTCTGACAAGACGGATGGAAGCTCGGGGGGTTCTGAGCACAGACTCTGGGGCTTGGCGGCCTGGCCTCAAATCCTGCTCGCACTGCTGGGTGACCTTGGGCACGTGACTTAATCCACCTGCTGCCTGTCTCTTCATTTGTAATATGGGGATGGCAATAATGCCTACCTCAGAGGTTGGCATTAAACAAGTTATTACTACCAGGCTAAACAAATGATCTGTAAAGGACCTGGAAAAGAGCCTGGCCTGTCAGGGCTGCGTGAGCGCTGGGTGCAGCTGGCGCTCACCCCGCACTCCCCTGAGCCACAGGGCACCCTCTCTCAGCCCTTGGCCCTACCGAAGGCCAGTGAAACTCCCCTCCATGTCTTTGGACTTGTTCGTGAGTACTGAGGGTTTTAAAACCCAGTTCCCCTCTAAGGCCTCCCAAGTGCATCACTGAGTGTTTATTTTTTCTAATTGTTGTGATGGAAGGAAACAGACTACCTCTATCTTCAAAGGCAGTGCACGAAGGTCTCACATTTGGAAAACACTGAGACATGGTTGGTCACTGCCCTGCACTAATGAGACCAGGGAGCACGTGCGGAGGTGAGCACGTGCGGAGGTGAGAGCGGCCTTGCTGCTGCGCCTAGAGGAGTCTCCGGCTCCTCTTCCCGCCTCTCGTGCACCTGGCCAGCCCACTCCCAGAGCCGGGGCCCCTCCCACCTGCTGATGATGCTCTTCATCTGGCTGTCCTTCTCCTCCTGCTGCCGGCGCAGCCGCTCCTCGCTGTCCTCCAGCCGCGCCTTGTACTCCAGCAGCAGCTTCTGCATCTGCTGCTCCTGCACCAGCAGCCGGCGCTCGTACTCCTCCAGCCGCCGGCTGGACACTCGCAGGCGCTCCTTCAGCTTGGTGATTTCCTGTTCGTACTAGAGGAGAGAGAGACGCCTTGCACTGGCTGTAGAAATCGGTGATTCGCTTTTATCGAGAAACCGGAGGCAAGGCAGCTGGATGCCGTCGGAGCCTCCATGCCGTGTGCTGCTGCTGTTCTCGGAGGTACAAATGAGAATGGAGCTTTGCCCCTCTCCTCAAAGTACACTTGTGATGTTACCTTGGCATTGCGAACCTATATATTATGTGTCTGTCTCCACATTAAACTACCAGTTGCTGCAAGCCACACCCAACCTATGATGGCATCAAATGGGAGCAGGAAAAAAACCATCAAGCACTCAGAAGCCTGACGGACCACTTGAAATGAGCCAAAAGCCAGCTGTCTACAGAACGGGCTCCATGCTGTCGCCTGTGCTGTGGGATCTCGACCAGGGCCCACGACCTGGCTCAGCAGACGGCCACTCCCTCACGCTACCGGAATCGGCCCTGCAGAGGACGGGCAACGTTTCTGTCGTGTTAAAGTGCTGCTGAATCAATACACAGAATTTTATGGCAGACTGCCAGCAGAACTTTACGGTAGACTGTAGCGTCTTTCTCCCTAACTATGAAAATGTAGAACATTCAGGTCACAAGCATCAGGCCAAAGGCCTACATGTTCTCTAGGGCTGACGAACACTGCCTGTTGGCCCGTTTTCAGGACGTAGTTCACCTGCCCACTTTCCTACTCCTTTCTGGAAGACACAAGTCTGTTTTCTCGCTAATGCTGTGTATGAAGCTTCACACTGGTGACACGGCCCCCTCTCGCACCAAAGTTGCGGTGGGCAGGAGGTGAGGACCCTGGAAGGTCACATGACTAGGTGAGGTGAGAAGCCGGAGCTTCCTGGGAGATGGTCTACATAAGTTCATTAGGAATCAGTGAGAAGTCTGTATGGTGCTTCGTAAAATGCAGTCTGTCTTCATATAATGTCCTGCCAGGCAATTAGCTTCTGCTTACTCAACACCATGGTCCTAAAGGACAATGTGAATCCGGAAGGAAGGTCAAAGATGACTGCCTCGAGGACAGCTGGAGGAGGACGGCTGCAGCAAGGGGCACGTTTAGGATGGCGCTGACGGGTGAGCGGAAGCTAGCTGTCTGGCTGCCAGTCAGATAAGATGACGCCACACAGGACGTCAAGTTCTTGTTCGATCATTTTTTCCATGTCAGCTTGTCTTTAAAAGACAAAACAAAATGAAATTGAACCAACAGAGGGTTAATGTCTTTTCCAAAAATCATCTATAAAGCCAGAAGTTCTTTTCCAGAAAAAGCAAAAGAACAAAAAACAAAAAAAACAAAACACAACAAAACCCAGCACAAAAATCATGACCAAGATATAGAAAGTAAGTCTCGTCCAAGGGGGATTTTGGTCTTGGATGCAGACTACCAACCACTTCACAAAATCACTAAACAATTGCCTAAAATTATTAGAAATGAATATCAGGGTATTCTTCAAATTAAGGCAACCTACATAAATAAAAAAGAAAGAGCTAATGCCCTCCCCCGCAGCTTGACTGACCTCTCCCGCACACTCCCACCTGGAGACACTGCTAGTAACTGCACGGAGGTAGGGGCCTGGCGGTTAGTGAAGGGGGTGGAGCTGAAGCGGGGGCGGGGCAGCTCAGGTCCTCGGCCGGGACTACCCTTTTGGTGGCCTGTGGCCGCGGGGCAGTAAGTCAGTACACACAGGCTGGGTTCTACCTTCTCAGCGTGCTTGGCTTCGTCCTGATTTCGCTCAGCTTCTTCCACATCCTCTTCGTACTGCCCGTTGTTCAGAACCCAGGCCGCTGTCCTCTCCACGGGGGACATTGTGGCCGAGTCCACCGGTGACTGGACCTGCATCGGAAATACTGATTAGCATCTCTCAGAACTGTGCGTCTGCTAGTTCCATTTCCCAAGGAGAGCTGTTCTTGGAAGATGTAACTGTGATTCCTCTGTTTGAGTAAATGCTCTCAGTTCTAACTGATATTTGATGAAGGCCAGGGCTGGAGGAGGAAAAAGAGACCACCTGTTTATTTGCATAAGAAGAAACTATTCTGAACAGAAACCCTGATGCTACACTTCCAAGAACTTGCCTCTTTCTCCCTCCAGAGAAAGACAAGGCCTTAAAGCTGTGAGTCAGCCCAGCGGTCCAGGTCACCCAGCGAAGTAAGGACCACGACAGGATGGGAGGAGGGAAGCGCGCTGCTCGGGGTCACCCTGAGACGGTCGGGACTGAGGAAGTGATTAAAGCCAGACAAGCTCACTAGGGGCCCACTTACACATCGGAATGCTGAATTCTTAATTTCACATTAACCATTGAGAAAGAGAAAAAAACCCCACAAGTGATTTTAGTCATTTTTACACAGTCACGACTTCTTGAAGGGTTAAGCCCACTGAAAGTTCTGTACTAGACCAGAGAGTTTCCTGACAAATACAGGCTCAGAACAACAGGTTGTGAAGTTAGTGTAAGAGATAGTTCTATCCAGTTAGGACAGCTAAATTGTCCTTTTCCAATATAGATATAACACAGAGTGATAGAAATTCTAGCCTTGAGTAGCAACTCGGCCACCTAATTGTCACTTAATCTCTTAAATGCTCTTTTCCTGATGTGCTAAAGAGGACACTTCCAGCATCGCCCTCACCGCTCAGCCCGACCCTCCCCGGAAGCTGTGAGGACTGAGTAAAATCGGGCGTGTGGGAGTTCCTTGAAAACATGGTACCAGAGAGCTCAGGTTGGTACTCATGTACTTCTGTTTAGAAAACTGGTGCTGTACATTACAGTTGAGATGGCACTACTGAACACCAGTGCTTTCTCCACAAACAGTGCTGGAAATACATAACAGATTCGTTTTCTCTGGCCTGCCTCGGAGAAGTGCCCGAGAGAGAATGAGAGAGAGAGGTGGGGAAGCGGGGGCTGGAGAGATAGAGACAGAGAGTGAGTGCGTACAAGCACAAGAACCTTTAAAACACTGTGAGTTAGTTTTTTATTATTAGAATGAATTTCTATTTTGAGGACAAATCCTCCATAATCTTATCGAGGGGAATTTTCTCTTCCATGCAGAGCTGTGTATCTAGAGAATCTTTATATCATTCTGGAATAGAACTGAGTTAGACTCTAAATAGAGATTTTCAGGGAAGGGGTATGATGATGATTTTGAGGTTTACAAGGAGCGGATAAGAAACCCGGCTACAGAGACTGACAGGTTATCGAAGACGATCTGGGTAAAACACGTGCGAACAGAAGCAATGTAAAAGTATTCTTTAAAGGCCGGAAGAATCAGACATGGTTTGTCTGATTTACAAACAGATTAGACATATGTATCAATAAAAAAAAATGGCTTCATGCTTGAGGCACGTGTAGCAATGGTGAGTGAACTTCCGGAATTTCCTTCTTTAAAGCCCCACTCTCCACTGTGGAGTGTGGGTACGTTTCTCACACTTCACTCGTGTGTGCACCACTGTCGTCATGTTGGTCACAAGCACACTATCACTGATATTTATTATCACTTTAAAATCACAGTTAGGCAAGTCCTCACCCTAAGCAATAATATCAGTAAGATGATGAGTTTGATGTGATACAACACATATGTTTCTACATCAGTCATTACATATTTTTCTAAAAATGTGTTGAAATAAACGCCACGTACACTTAAGTAATTCTGAGCATCGCACTGCGGGAACCCTGGCCTGTAGGCTACTGCATCGCCCACGAGAGGAAGGTGACAATCAGCCACACCCAAAGTCACTCTGAGAAACAAGTGAGACGCACACAGAAGCACTCTGCGAGCTGCAGAGCACTTCACGCACCCCCCCCCCCCACCCCGCTGCTGGACTGTAAAGGCAGAGCTGCCACAGAAAAAGCTGCCTGTCTGCGTAACCAGGAGTTTCTGTTCAATAACGGTTTGAGATAAAGTAGCCACTCAAACTAATAACTTTACTCTTTAAAATTTATTACCTCGAGGCAGCTAATTCAATAGCTTTCTGCTTTATGGCGTTAACAAGAGGTTGCCTGAATGAACTTACTCTCCCTCTGATTTGTTACGGGAACTATTTATTGAGTGCCTCTAAGTGGACTGCAAACAAACGATACCCCTAAGGGCACACGGAGGAGAGATCTTAGCCCCTAAAAACATTAGAAACTCCAGTTCCTTCGGGGAATCTTGGCTTGGACTGTTAAGTGCAAAGGTGTGAGAACGAGAGTGGTTTCGTGGACTGGTGATGGTAGCAGCTACCCTATTTTCAGCAGGACAGGCAGTGTCCAGTGAATTACAAGAGACAGTACGATTGGCACCGGGCACTCAGGTGTATTCCTGTCTATGGGCTGAATCTGATTTTCAGCCACCTCCCAGTCCAGCGGCACCTCGGTACTCGTCGTGAATTCATTCTGGAATCTGTGAGGCGTGCCGGGGCCAGCGAGTACCGGGCAGTGAAGTGTTTTCCCCAGGGCGGGGGGCGGGGGGCAGGGGGGCCCGACTCACACGTTCTAGCTCTAACAAGTGTGAGCAGGCGCCGAGTGCGGAACATTTTTTCCGGGTTTGGCCAGTTCAGAAGCCGACGAGTACCGAGGTGTGACTGTGTACCCTGGCACTTTGTGTGACATGTGGTAGGTGGTCAATAACTGCTGAAAAAATAACTCTGACCAATATTAACCATGCCTTGTACTCATTCATTGACCTTTTACACAGTTAAAAAGAGATGGAAAAGGAACACTGGACAAATCAAAATTATTTGCGTTAGATTGGAAGAAAATAGAGGCGATGTTTGTTTCAAAAATTTTTTTTGTTGTAATACCTTCTTCATATGAAAAAACGATATACATTTTTTGCTTTTTTTCCTATTGATCTTATATGTGTGCCGTTCTGATTTCCCCATTAAATCGTCAAGTTTTGAGACATGGCACCATGTCATACATTTTTGGGGGGCGGGCATGGTAGTGATTATGTATTTGTACAAAAGATGCTTGATGAAATATTATTGACTAATACGGAGCAGATTACTGAAGTATGGTTCATTGCTAAGAGAAGGACGCTCTGTCTCCCCTCCCATCCTCCTCTTGGTGAGAAACGATGTCGCCACACCCAGCAACAAAGCGCAGGGAAGGCCATCGCTCCGCCTGCTGCACAAGCCGCGCGGAGAGCACAAGTCACCACCTCCGGCTGCAGTCAGAGACGCCGAGGGGGCGGCTGGGAGGCGGTCAGTTCCCACTCTGCCCCGCCGCACATCCTCGGGAAGAGCTTCCACAGCCGCCGACCGGCAACAGCGGGCCATCGAGGAAATGACGGATGGCAGAGACGAGAGGGAGCGGGAGTTCCCATTGGGAGCGACCCCTCTTGAGACAAAGCTGCTCTGGGAAACACAGCACTCGGGGAGAACCCTGCTCCCTGCCAGCGCCTCCTAGAAATGAGTCAGACCTGCTGGTTTCAGCCCCTCCGCGGTCCGCGAGAGTCCAGTTCCCGCCCGAGAACAACACCGCTGCTGCCACCACCACCACCACCACGGGCCGGGCTGGCGGCTGACCAAGTGGACCCTCAGTTGGGGGGGGGGCTTGAGGGGGCTGGGGAGGGCGCATCACCCCGACGGGCTGCTCAGGCGCCAGTTTTAAGAGCCTCTTCCAGTTCAGATTTCTGAGTCTAGGTAACGTGCTGTATCCGAACGACTCATGTATTGTGCAGAGACTGTCTATGGGGCACGAAGAACAGAATGAGGAGGCAAGTGAGAAAAAAAAAAATCCCAACAGAGGCCGAAGGGGACAAAAGTGACAGCTTCCCGGAAAACATTCCTTCTGTGGATTGTTTCACTGCAATGCTGTTCCCTTCCCACTCAGTCGCGGGAGGAGGCCGAAGCTGGTGGCCGTGCCAATGGGGACCGCTCCTTTGTGCTGAGACACGGACGGAATTTGCAGGGGACAAAGCCACGGGGAGCTGCAGACTCCCACAGAACCATCCCCACAAAGGAGCCCTCTAGTTTGGGGGAGAAAAGAATTCCCTGACACAATCTGCAATTAAAATGTGTAAAGGAATTTGCCTGGAAAATGCGCTGATTATACAGAATCTCAGAGGCTTCATGGGAGCAAGATGAGAAACGCAAGCAAGAAACCAAAAGATAAGGAATTTAAGAAATAACCTAAGTTTGAAAGAATAAACCATCTGCGTTAGAAAAAGCCAGTGGGGAAAAACCAGAAACTGAAGCAATCAGAACAGAGCGACTGCTGGTTTCTCGGCCACGAGGATGGGGGCAGCAGCGAGGGCACAAACAAAGGGGATTATTTAAAGCTGCGCCAGGACGTCTCACTGTGGCCGAGCCCCGCGCCACGCCAGTACACTACGGACCCTCTCCAGCTCATTCATGGCTGTGGCACAGAACACTTCCCAACGGGTTACTTGGAGACGGTAGGCATTTCCTACCTCCCATCTCTCAGGCGGAGAAACACGTCCTGAGCGCTTCTGGGAGAGGGCCCTGTTTCCCTGTAGCACACATGGTACAGGTTACAGTGGGTTCCAGGCGATCACAGAAGAGGCTATTGAGTTTATAACATTGTAAACAATCGGTCAGAGTCGCGGGCCCTGCGAAGGGCTGGCTGCACGACACGGGAGGAAGGGGCGGGCACCCCTCTCTTGCGCCCAGCGCTGGGCCTGTGTCCACTGTCAGCTTCCAAAGTAAGCAGAGGGCCCCCCACCCCCGGGCCCACCCCTCTCCGCTCCCTCCCCAGGGCCCTCACGCCACACTGAGCCCCCAAGCAGGTGTCTGCCTCCACATCTCTAAAACTACCTACCTTTCTTCTCTCCTCGCAACAGACACCTTAGTCCTTGGCAAGGGGGTGATCTCAACTAGAAACCAGCATAAGAGCCAGGTGGGGAAACTGATTCACAATAAGGTGTGAATGACTGCCAGTCTCCTGACACACAAATTAAATGCACAGACAGGAGATCTACAGATGCAGACAGGCAAGCAGTGAAGCACTTTCACTTCAAGGAAAGGAAATACATACTACTCTGTCATAATATTATATGTAATGTTATATATACTCTGCCTTTCCTTGAAATGAAAATGCTTATTAAGTCAAACAAATTGGTGAAATTTGGGGAAATACAGCAAAATGAAAATGAAACATTTCAGACTGGAGAAAACCGTTATTTCTCAGGGGAGAACGCCCAACGAGGAGGTTCCGCCCCGGAAGTCAGCTTCCAGAGTCGGCTGCCGCGAGACGTGTTTTCCCCCCTTCCCCTGCTTCTGTACCCAAGGGTCCTGCAAATCCTGGGCTACTGTTAAACAATAACCAAACAATTATCAAAGGCGGGGCAAGGGCTCCAGTCCCAGTAGAGTGGAGGTAGAAACAGCCAAATTAGTAAATGCCTACCTATAAAAATGCAAATGTATTAAAAATATATTGAGGTTTTATTGCAATCTCCTCTGACAAGTTTTTTTTTTTTTTGACAAAAGAACTTTTTAAATCATGAAGCTCCCTAGTACTTATAAAGTATGATCAGGTTCCCAAAAATATTCAAATACAAAGATTTTTAGGAGAAAATTTTTTTTCAGGTGAAAGTAAGAAATTTCCTCTCTCTCTCTCTCTCTCTCACACACACACATACATATACACACTTCCTAAGGTTATTAACTTGTTTCAAAGAACAAAATATATATTGGGGCCTCTTGGGAAACCTTTGCATCAAGGAAAAAAGGTTTTGTCAACCTTATACTAAGATTGGGCGTGATGCTGGCGGGGTGTGCCCACGTAAAGAGAAGCTGTGAGGAAGCTGTAAATGTTTCAAATACCCACCCACCACCTGCGCAGCCACCTTTTTATTTCTTTCCTTTACTTTGCCTCCATAGGTAGGTGTTCGGTTGTTTATTTTTCCAGCCATTTCCAGGAAAGGGCACCTGGGACTTGCTCATCCAGGGGGAGTTGGGGAGAGTAGAGAGTAGTTAGACTAAACTCTTGGCTCAGAATGCAAAAGAAAAAATATATTTAAGGAGGACTAACGTCCAGATGATCGAAACGCCTTCTAGTTGCTTTGGTCTGTAGATTTCGTGGACTAAGCATCCAATTACTCATTCAACAGGACGGGTCTGCTCTCGGTGCGAGTGAGGGGAAGGCAGGGCCCCTCAGAGGTGTTTACAGAGCGTCCTCAGGGTGGAGTCGAGCTACGTTTGGCTGCCTCACCTGGCCAGGAGCCTCCCAAACCCTTCGCTTCCTCTGCCCACCTACAGGGGGCAGAGATATTTTACGTGGAGACCCTGTTAGCAATGGGGTTTCCCAAAGATCTCTGCAAAAGGACCCGCGGGCACAGAGGACCCGGCAGAGGCCCGGCCATCCCGCTCTCGCGCCCTACCTGCTGCGCCTGCGGCCTCTGGATCGCTCTCACTTTGGGCACTGGGCTCTCCCTGGACGAAGACGACTGCTGTCGGGACCGGCTCCCGTTCTGCGCGGGCTCCGCCGCCAGGGCCGCCGAGGCCACGGACATGCTCCCGGTGCTGCGCAAGGAGGCGCTGTGTGGCAGGGACGGCGGGGCTTTGGCCCGCGCGCCCAGCCCGGCGGGGTCCATTCTGCGGACTGGGGCCTGCCCCGTGCTGTTCTGCCGGGGCAGGGCCAGAGGTGTGTGTCTGTCGGGCACGGTGTGCCGCCTGGAGTAGTCCTCGCTCTGCGTGCTCCGTTTGCTGAAGTCCTCCATGCTGCTGTTGCTGGGTCCGCTGAGTTTGAAGTCCTCACTGTTGCTTTGGCTTCGGGAACTGGCGGTGCTCAGGTTCTCCAGGCTGGAATCCACAGAGGCCTTTGGCATGGCTGGGATCGGGTTGCTGAGGTGATAGACGGGGTTCTGGAACGACAAGGGCTGGAGGGTGCCGGGCTGGCTCAGGGCCGGGTGCAGGGGCCTTCTCACTTGGGGCGCGCTCTGGGGCGTGCTCTGGGTCTCCCGCAGCTGCTTGATGCTGGCCACCTGGGTGATGGACAGCTGGCTCCCGGTCAGGCGCAGCGGCACGTCGAGCATGACGGACGCGTGGTCCGCCGGGGCGGCGTGCGAGTCCTGCAGGTCCATGAGGGAGACGCTCCGCCCGTTCGGAAGGCTGCCGTCCTTCTCCTCCTTCTCAGAGTACGTCATGCTCTGGGAGGAGGCTTGCTGAACCAGCAGCAGGGTCTTCCCCCTGAAGTAGCCATCTGTGTTGTCCTGGCTCGGAGACTTGAGTTTGTGCAAATCACTGCGGGAAAGGAAAGGACCCTTCATTACTCTCGGGACAAACCCAACGTGGTCACGATTCCTCAACTCAGGTACCTGCACTGTTCTGCAGGCTCACGGGCCCAACGAGGATACTTCCATCTGCACTCAGATTCCATCATCACAATTTTTAGAATACAATCCAACAGTTTTTGTTTTTCTCCAAAGGTGGAGAATAATACGGTGTATACCACTCTATCACGGTTTCAGTTTTTACTAGAATTCCAGTGGATTTTTAGTTAGGGTTTAAACCCTCCCAGAGGACTCCCAGTCCTGCCTAACCGGTTCGAGGGGAGAAGCTCTAAGAGCACCACTGAGGGCACCGATCTTGCCAACAGGGGTGGCAAAGGCTAAGCATTAACACTGTGCCCGCTGTCCAGCTACACAGTGGTTCTCCTGAGGTTCTCCAGATTCTCGGGAGCTAAATGCATGAAACCACGAATGCTACGGAGCCCTTGGTCTTCCATTAAGCAGGACACGATGTTTAAAATGCATTTGTTGAGTATAACTCGACAACACCATTCTCAGAAATTAGTGTCTTAGATCCTGTCTATTGTCACGACACCGGATTTATCTCAGGTCAGATGATTCTTGCCTATGGCTCGAGATTTTAAAGTGTGTCGACTCAACAGGTAAGTTAAACAGACTTTCGCCAGCTCTCTAAAACGCGATCTCTGTGGGACGGCACCTCAGACTCTCCTCCCTACCTGTCAGCGGGGTCTTCGAATATCTTCTGCAGCCCAGAGGACAGACTTCCACTGACGTTGGGGCTGGAGCTGTGCTCCGTGAAGCGCCGCAGCTGCTGCTGTATTGGCGTGGGGTTAGTCAGAGACTTGGTGATATCAGCGAGAACACGAGGGAGAGGCCCCAGTTTTGCCACGGTCGCCTGTAGGAAGGAATTTTCACCCTAATTGGATAATAAGCATTGCGACATCCACCACAGATTGTTTTGGGGACAACGATGCCCATTGATGAAGGGGTGCAGGTTGAAGGGAAGGGTAGGTGTTTGCGTGTGGGAGTGGCAGGTTCATAATGCATTGTTATGGAGCAGCAGAACCATGGCGTCGAGATGGATGGAGGAGGCGAAACAAGGTGCAGCAGACATCGAGAAAAGAAAGGAAATAGAAATTAGGATTATGCAAATAAAAATTAAAAGACATGCTCAAAACAACCAAAACATTGCCATTCCAACTAAAATCGGCATGCAAAGCAAACGAGATCTCTGGAAGGCTAGTAAATCGAGGTGGGGGAAGGCAGGAGGAGAACCAAACACCTTCTAACCAAAAAGGACTTCAAAACCGTAAGGCTAATGTGATGAAACCTCCGAAGAAAAGGGGGTATGTGAGGAAAGAAAGGCATGCAATGTAAGGCGCGCGTTGCATGCAGGTCCAGCGCACTCCAGGACACGCCGCTGGCGTCGCCGTCAGCTACCCCATTGAATCTTGGGAGCCCTGACCTATTACTGCCACCTAGGTTTGCGTAATCAGCACTGATGATTCTTTTTAAAACGGAAAAATCGGGTAAACTCTCTCTGTAAAATACGTCTATAGGTACTCCAGGTTTTCAGAACCAAAACAGGTTAAAAAGGAGAAAGTGTGTTGATACAGCAAAGCTTGATGAGAAGACCTTGACCCTGAATAAACCTGGCTGATTTCGCAAGAGAACTTTCTCTGCATCTCACTGATACAGATATTCCACAAGGAACAGTTTTTAGTACTTGCTTTATCCATCTCAATAATTTTTTTCTCTGGGGAGTTCTCCTTCTCATGGGGTCTCAGCTGTTTGGCAGTTTTACACGGCTGCCTCTGGGTCGTCTTGGTTTCCCAACAGCCAACAGCTCCTGCAGTCCTGCTCGGGCGGGCGGGATGCCGGCTCAGGCGCCCCTGAAGAACACCTGTCCAATGCCTGTCCACACTCCACCTCCTTGAGCTGTGATTCACGTTCAAGGAATCTACCCTTCGCTCAGCTGCACCTCAGAGTCCAGCTGGCATTTCTAAAAGTGAAGAAGGGGTCCTCAGGAATAAGGAAGTTCACTGCTTTATGAATGCTTTAAGCAGCAGTGGATACCCTGCCATTTACATTTCCTCAAGAAGGTGGTCTCCATTAACGGGTCTCACACCGCCCCCCCCCCCAATATTATTGGTACGTTTTTAAGGATAATAAGAAAATGAAGAAAACAAATTCTCATCAGAAAAATAACTTGGCCTTCTGAAGTCATTCTAATATAACACCACACATATTTATAAAGTGCCTACAATAAACAAAATGATCAATAGATAATTACTGTGATCAACCTAGCAAAAGTCTGTTAAGACGATTTCCCATGACAAAATCTACTCTTCTTTGCAAAATTCCAGAAGGAAGAAAATGATTGGTATGGTTATTAATATGAAATCCTTATTAAAATGTAATAATGACATTTTTAGCTAATAATAATAAAATTCTTAGGTTATAGTCAGCAAATAAATGATTAAAAATTATAATTGTTTTCTTATTAATTTACATCAACAACAAAAAAAGCAAACCAGGATTTTCAGATCCCATGTAACTCTGTTGTACTAATAGTTATATTAAACCCTTTGACTTGCATTAACAGCAACAAAAATCTCAAGGGTAAAGCTAAAGCATAGTAGTCTCTGTATATTTTGAAGTCTGCACTTTTGCTAGAAATTGCTGTATGAGGCTTCGTCTCATCCTACTATACAAGAATAAGGCCACAAACACCAATATTTGATATTAGTTTCTAGGTAAGTTTTTAGATATGTTACATATACTATATTTATTTACTTATAGAAATATAGACTCTATCAATGCAGATAATTACTTGAAAAAACATGTAAGTGATTTCATGGCTTCCTAGAATTTCTATGGTTTGGGGGTGTATTTCACCCAGAAATGACAGCCAGGTCCTCTCAGACTTCTAGAACAAAAGGCTGCTTTCACCTAAGAGGAGGGCGAGTGCTGGGCCCTGCAGGGGCTCTCCAGCATTCGGGGACCGTCAGCCTCCCTGGCTCCGACCTCCTGCGCCGGCTCCAGCCTACTTTACCTTATCCAGCTGGGACACTACTTCCCACAGTAGGGAGTGCAAAACCGAGAGCTCCCGGCCCAGGTCGATGTAGCCGTCGAAGCCCGGGGTGTTGGAGATGGTGTCCGGGTTGGAGATCTCCAGGAGAAAGCGCTTCATGCCGCCCCACTCGTGCTCTAAAAAATCGTTCATGAACGCCATGTATTCTTCTTTGTTGCCAAATCTGAAGGGGAGGGCAAGACAGTGGGAAAGAACGTACTCAGGAAAAGAGAGGTGAGCGTCTCGAGTTGACTTTACACAGAGCTACACAACTGTTTGGCTTCGGGGAGGGGGCTAAGTGACTGATTCGTTTATTGTCTCTAAATGATAAAGGCTAAAACATACTTTGTTAATATTAACAGCATGAATACTCAGAAACTTTGAATAGCTTTCTATTCTCTACTGTGTAAAGTTAAAAATCTTTTTTCTCGTATATAAAACTCTGTAATACAACCTTCATGTACCTAGCAGACTGACGAAACCAAGGTTTGCCGGCATAAACCTTACTATCACTCGCTTCTCCCAAGTTTCCCAAATGCTTCATGCCCTTTTCCTGCTCCAAGCCTTTGCTCACGCTCTTTATTTCTGCTGGGGAAGAGCTTCCTCTCTTCTGTGCCTGTCTAGATTGCAGCTGCCCTTGCGGGGGTGTCAGACTCATTTTCCCCGGGGGCCACATCAGCCTTGCGGTTGCCTTCGAAGGGCCGAATGTAACTTTAAGACTGTAGGAATGTAACTACTCCTTAACTAGGGGCCAGGAGCTCGGCCGAAACAAGGTGCCGGGCGGGATAAAACAAGGCGGGGGGCCGGATTCAGCCCACCGGCCTTGTGTTCGCCGCCTGCACCTTAGGGCCTAGCCTAGGTCCATAAAACTTGTTCCAAAACAAACTAGAGATAATTTTTAACAAAATTAGCTCAAACGTAGGCCAATATATATATTTCTGCATTGGCTCATATAGAGGATACACAAAATTGAAACAGTGCACTTCTAAAGAGCCACTGTTTAAACCAGAAAACCACCCGCCACACTGAAGCTCTCGTTTTTCCTTCGTTGCATTGCTAATAGAACCCTGTCTTTAGAAGAAGCTTCAACACGGACCCAGTGTGTTGTGGTCGAATTTGCCAGTGTGAACTGCCTCTCCGTGATCTCTTAAAATTATTTTCTGTACGTTATAACAATTATACACACTGAAAAAGACTTGAAAACAATGAAAAGTGCAAGGAAAAAAGTATGGGTGCGCCCACTCTGTCACCCAAATACCCCTGCTATTTACATTCGCGTGCATTTTCTCCAGCTGCTTTCCAGCGTCCTTTAGAAAAGGTTTCAATCCACCGAGAGTTGAAAGAATATACAACGAACAACCATATGTCTTCATCTACATTAACCAACTGTTAACGTTCTGCCAAGTTAGCTTTCACTCTCTCTATATATACACTTTTTCTTTTTGGCTGAACCATTTTAAACTAAGTTGCAGACATAACCTCTAAATATATTAGCCACCACTGCTCCGGAATAAGGAATATCTCTTACATAAACCAATGTCATTATCACACTAAAACTTAAAATTAAATTTCACTAATTGTCCCCAAATGGACTTTTAATTGACTTTTTTTTTTCCCAATTTAGGCCCAAATAGGACCCAAGCGTCTAAACTAGTCTCTTTTAATACACAACAGCCCCTCCCTCTTTCCCGTGGTTCACGGCGCCGGCTTGTTTGAAGGGGCTGAGGTTTCTAACAGCCCCTTTCATCTAAAGTGAGTATATCTCCGTCATTTTCCATGTTATTGGCTTTCCTTTGTGCACACGGCGTGTGGTGGCTGCCAAGGTTCCACGGAATGCATGCACCCTAGCTCACTTAACCCTCCCTCTACGAAATGAATATTTAAGTTGTTCCCAATTTTGTCTGCTACTTTAATAACACCGCCGTGAAGGCCCTGTAACATGAGTGATGGGGCTCCCCGCCCCCGCCTCACTTTTAGACCTCACGCATTGTTTACGCAATGTCTCTTAAAACGTCGTCGAGGCAGCGACACCTACTTGGCGAAGTTCGCCAGGTTCTGGATGACCTTGGCAATCAGAGTCAGAGTCCGAGACGTGCGGTCGTCGGGGTACTCCTGCATGAGGTTGAACAGGCTGGGGGACATGATGGCCGGGCAGAGGAAGCGCAGGAACAGCGAGGCGCTGATGAGCCGCTCGCTGATGTCCTGCTTGCCGCGGGTCAGGCACTGCTGCTTCCAGGACGCGAACACTTCTTTCAGCTCGCGGGGGAAGACGCTGGGGAAGGGAGGAGATCAAAACCTCTGAACAGCAGCCGGGAGAGCACAGGCGACCCCGCTCCGGAGCCGGGTGACGAGGGGCCCTGGGGGAGAGCTCTCTGCCTGAGTCACGGCCGGGAGGTGGCGGGAAATTCGCAGAGGCCCAGATGGAGGCTGGAAACCCAAAGCTGCGAGACTCGGGAGTTAGTGTAAATTTAGCTGTGCGAAGTGGGAAAATGGCATGAGGCTCCCGGCGATACCATCTGTTTAATAAAGATCACCATAATCTCTCTAAAAACTGTTCATCAAAAATCACCCCAAATCTCACCGATTGCTGGGGTTGGGACAATGACCAAGCCGACTAACATATCTGTTTAACACCAGTGACTATTCCAGAGAGCCATTGCAGTACTTTCAGTATTACAAGAATGTGGTGCTAATGTTCTACATAAACATCACATTTATGCAGATAAATCTGAGACTTTTCTGCTTCCACAGAGACTCGGATTTTAGGCAGGACCGTGTTAGGGAAACTTTGTGTCCCCCCCCCACCCCCCCCTCCCTTCGGTTGGGAAATCACAGTTAACACTGGGGTGACTCTGGTCGGGGAAATGAAAGCCCTGTGGGTCCGTGGCGGGGGAGGGCTGACGCCAGCTCACCAGTAAGAGTTGATGATCTTGCAGAAAGCCAGCTCGCAGCACATTTTCAGGTTGCTCTGGTGGTCCAGCAGCTCGCTGGACGAACATTTGCTGGGGTCCACTTCGCAGTTCTCGTCTGACTCATACAAAGCCTTGATGAACTCCCCTGTTTGAAGAGAGAAAGGGCAGGCAGCAGAACTATGAACAGTGTCTTCCTGAATAGAACAAAAGGACTTAGCACTTCGGTCCTTACATGCACAATGGGAGTCTCTCTGAGACCGGCCAGGGGAGGCACAAGAGACTGCCCGGGAAGGGTCGTCACTTTGGAACCCAGGAGCTCCCACCTCCCACCTGTTACATTTATTTTCTTTATCCTGGAAGGGGACGAAGAGCAATCCCTAACAGCATCATCATGGTACTGATAAAAACAACAGTGATTCTACTTTAAACCATGAAGCAACTTTAACTCTTTTATCTGAAACCACAAATAAACGAGCATGGGCTCATTATTTATTATAAAGCCTCTCTACCAGGGTAAATAATATTATTATCATAGAAGAAAAAAAATAACCCAGGATTGACTGAATAGCCCACCTAAGGTTTTAAGTGCTAATGCTGGTACCAAACCTATATTCGAGGAAGACTGCTAGACCTACCTCTTGTAATGGGGACAGTCATTGAACATAGCACACAACGGGAGCAGAACATCCCTTATATAATCTGTACGTATTTTTCCAAATAGATTTAGCTTAGAAGACCTGCTCATATATCCTACCCTCTACAGCACAGTGGGCAAACACAAGGCCCGAGGGCCGAATCCTGCCCTCCACCTTGTTTCATCCGGCCCGGCACCTTGTTTCTACCCGGGGGCGGCAGCACTGAGCTCTAGCCTAACTGTTAAGGAGCAGTTACATTTCTGCAGTCCTAAAGTTACCTCCGGCCCTTTGAAGGCGACCGCGAGGCTGACGTGGCCCCCGGTGAACATGAGTCTGACACCCTGCTCCACAGGGACAAGCCCAGCGTCCTCTGAGAGAACCCGTTCCCTTACCCGCTTATCCCCCACCGTCCCTGTACATAGCCCGCTGTTCCGCGTCTCACTCGGCTTTGTGTTCGTGTGACCACAGCACCTTTGGAGGTGAGGCACCGGTTCTGCTCGTGTTCGGACCCCAGCCTATGAAACAGCGCCCAGAGCACTGCAGGTGCTCAGTAAGTGTTTACGAGCTGGTAGTGTGTGTTCTTGGGTTTTTACAGGCCTTTGTGAAGGGGGAGGTATTTCAAAGACCCTTTCAAATCTGCTTATCTTGCTTCAGGTTCGGTCTAGTTATAACAGACTTCATGAAAGTAAACAATGATGTCTGCAAAACTAGGTAGCAGCAGCGATATAAAGAGCATTTTCCAGCAAAATGGTTAGTAGTGGGGTACAGGAAAGCTTTTAAAAGCAGCTGTGATGGAGGACGGGCCGTGGCTATTTGAGAGGAAAGCGCACGGAGAAGGGGAAACAAAGCGTTGTACCAAAAAGTCAAGGCTCTGGAGCCAGGCCGATCGAGGGTCAAATCCTGGCCCGTCACTCACTGACTGTGGACCTTTGAACGGTCACTGAGCGTCAGCTGCCCTACCTGGGAAACAGCACAACTCCCGCCCTGCAGAGCTGCGGTGAGAGTCGGCAATGATGCACGACAGGAAAGTGTCTGATACGGTCCCTGGTACACGGTCGGGGCTCCGTACAGTAAGTGTGCGTGTGCAAACTGGACAGCTTTAACACAATTTTTCATAGAGTAACACAGCTAAAACTAGTAACAGCTTTTAAAAATGTTTACCAATTCTCACAAGATTTGTATTTGACACGCTCTTGAAGTCTCCTGTGCTATGTGCTTCTACACAATTTATCCCACTTAAAGAGGACCTAAATTTAAAATCAAATCATCATTGTCAAATATTCCATGTAAAAATGGACCCACCTTTAAATTTATGTTATAAATATTGTTTAGTGAGTTCCTTAGGTTACACCAGTTCTGGGGAAATAATACTAATATTAATAAATATTAGTATTATTGTAAACTTTAAGGATATTTTTCTTTTATCCTTCAAGAAAAGAGCCAAATAACTCAAGGGTCTGGAGTTAAACTGTCTATAATTGCAGTCTAAATTTTTCCCCCTGATTATGATATATTTATAATCCTCAACAACAGAGCAAATTATTTTCACTTTTGAAAGTATAATCTGCATCTGATAATGTGGAAAGCACCACACTAAAAGGTAAACTTTTTATAGGTTTGTACCCAGAAGCTGCTTATCCAATCAAAAATTACCAAGATGGATTCAATAATCCATTCACCATATCTCACCGTGTATAATGAGCACCTGTGGTTTTAGTGCGCATTGTACAGAGGATTATTATACCCATGTATAATGCACACCCTTGTGTCTCCCTCAAAAATTTGGGCAAAAAAGTGCGCATTCTACACGGCAAAACACGGTCCACTTTCACTCTTGCCTCTGAGAGAGGTCACAGCCAAAGGGGATTGTGCCCACTATGTGGTCCAGATGGAAGTTCATGTCCAGAATGTTCTGTGTGTTTGCTGTGTAAGTCGCCAACTCGTTACCATCCAAATTTCGTGTGTGGAAATGAGTCGACAGGTATGAATATATTCTTGCTAAAAAAAAGAGTTTGCCTCTGTCACCAAGGATGGAGACCAGGCCTTTTCAGGGACCTCCCCTGTGTCTCACAGGCAGCGTGTGCCGAGTGGCCCGGGGACATCAGCGTGCGATCTGAGTTCAGTCGGACAGGGAACAGGGCTCACGGATGGGAGGTATCGGTCTGGCCCGGGCAGAGCCTGGGCCCTGAACAGCGATGCTTTACTCCAGAGAAGAGGAGACTACGTGATGTGGCCGTTTTCCCTGAGAATTCTTTAAGTCGTCTGGAAATAGCATCTTTTTAAAATAATGTTTCATAATATTTGGTATTCCATACCAAAATGGTGTGAAATAGAGCAAAACTTTTATTCAGAGTGCTCAGCTGTCCTTATGAAAAGTATTTTTGGTACTGAGACTTCACTATAAAGTCTTTTTACTTTATTTAATGCTTATGATGAAAACTTCAACCATATTATTAGAGGCGCTTGCCTCTATATCGGTTGGAATCAATTTCTTTAACTCTTTGGAAAAGCACAGGATTTCTCCCTTTTTTGGTCGTAAGGATATCCTCATTTTTCTGACCTTCCTGTACTGTAAGCTCCTGCAGGGCAGACAGTATCCACTCATTCAACACATTTCATGGTGTACTCCTGACGGTCACCAATGACACTGAACACCTCACATGCAGCTAGTGCAAACTGGAATGTGCAAAAAGTGTAAAACACACACCGAGTTTCAGATAGTGTGAAAAATGTACAATACCCCATTCGTAATGTGTATACTGATTACCTGTTAATATTTGGATACAACGGGCTACATAAAATGTTATTAAACTGAATTTCATTTGTGACGACTAGAAAACTCCGGCTAGTCACGGATGACTCCACTGTGCTTCTGTGGGACAGAGCTGGTCCCCATTCTGGGTGAAGCATGGGGCTACGGAGGCGGGAGAAGTGCCGGCGCCCTTCCAGGAACTCCCATCTGCGTTACCACGACGGGCATCGAGGGGCCCGGCACAGAACCTGACTCTAGTGGTTGACGCCCGAATTTCGTGAGTGACTCTGGACTTGAAGCGAGTGGCCTGGTCAGCGGGAACCACTGAGTGAACAAGAATCGGTTACTGTTGGAAATTCTGGAGGCCCTGAAGACAGAAACCGAGATTTGTGGGACGTGGCAGGAGTTTCTTGGTTTCTGATGCATGATAACGCATGTTAAACACTTTCAAGACAATGTATTTGTATCATGATATAAATACCCGGCACTTTTGGGGGAACGGGCCACCCTCAGAAGTGATACCCACTAACGTTACTGAGTTTCTCAGACACTTGAGGGCTGGGGGGTGGGGACTCATATCCTGCTGGGCTTTCTCCTTCGGTGCAGTCGTACTAAACCCACTGCGCTCCTCGCTGGTGAGCACTGCCGAGAGCCGCCCAAGCTGACACTCACATGTGGGTACCCCTCCAGTCACCTCGACCTGAACAGCACGCAGAAGCCCAGCTCAACCTGTCTGTCTCAGGAGGATGAGGTGACTCACAATCGAAAGGGGCAGAAAAGAAAACACGTCCCCTTCTCCCTACCCAGTGCATCGTGAAGATACTGCTGCCCCACCAGCTTGAGGTACTCCTCGATGGACTTGGTGGCGATGGTGTTCTCCCTGAAGATCAAGACGTCGTGCTCTCCGCAGCGGTCCACCTCGGACATCACCAGGTCGGTCAGGAAGTCCTGGTGGAATAGCGTCCCGTCAGGCAGAAAGCAAGTGAATAAGTACTACACATCGGAGGAGACAGATGAAACGCCAGACAGCCCGGGAACCCTGCTTTAAAACCAACGCTGCCAGATAAAACCAGGTCGGATAAAATCTCAGGGGTCACCGCCCCCAAGTGTGAAAGTCCTTCGCAGATTTTTCCATTGCACCTTTGATACAGACCAGAGTTCTGAGCGCAGCCTACAGGTCTCCGTACGTCTTGGTTTCTGTCTACTTCCTAAGCCTCATCTGGTGCCATCCTCTCTGCATTCTGCTCCAGCCGCCAGGGCCTTCCCCTCAGGTCCTGGACTACACCAAGCCTTTCCCCCCCCTCCATGCTGTCTACTCACCACACAGCTCGTGCAGACGCTGTTCTCAGTTCTGCTTCGCTCCCACCGTCCTTCCTGCCCTGACTGTCACCGAGCCAGTTGCCCGGATCTTTTGGGACTTAGTTCGCACATCCTTGCCTCAGTGAGGCCTGCTCGGACCTGAACCCCAGGAGTCAGGGCCCCGTAATCCATACTTCACAGCGCACGCCTCGGCACTTTTCACTGCAATCACGCTGTTCACTTCTGTAATTACTTGACTAACTTCTATGTCCCTCCCAAGACTTTAAGGCCTATGAGGTCAAAGACAGTGTCTGATTTTGTTTATCTCTACAGTTTTAAGAACTTAACATTTCTGCACATGGTAGGTATTCAATATCCAACAGTCACAAATTGGTCCACAGTTTCAACATGGAATTTCTTGAACGCAACACCTAAACTTGTTTTCTAGGCAATTTGTCTGTGACCCACCCCCACCCCCCCAGTCCCAGCCCATCATCCATGGAGAAGGAAGGCAAAGTGAGAAGTCAAGTCCTTAAGAAATAGCTGCTTCATTTCTCCATGGTCTTAAAGAATTTGATGTAAAACTCAAAGTGTACTGTTCAGTTTGAAAGCTGGTAACATCAAATATTTTGCATGTTATATGTTTTTTGGATATATCGAAGTCTCTAAAATCCAAAAATAGGAACTATGTTGATTTACTTTAGAACTAAGCATTTTAAGCAGTCATGGGATTGCCCTGGGGCGCCTGAGCCACGTGAAAGGAGTTACAGACTTAGGGATCGCCATGGAAACTCTTAGGCTAAGGGGCAGGGGGAGACCTCAGGGTGGTGGAAACATTCTGTGTCTTGATTGTGCTGGAGGTCTCAGTGGGAACATTATCTTGCAAAAATCATTCAATTTTTTCACTTGAAATGGGTACAGTTGACCGTATACAAGTTACACTTCAACGAAGTTGTTTAAAAAGCCCTTCATATACCCTGAGCTTGGAGCAACTGAAAAGCAGGAAGAACAGGTCCATACGACTTCAAACATGACATGCAAAGCTTCAATGACACTTCCCCCCAAATTCTTAAGCGTTTTTAATGCCAGAAAGCTCAAGATTATTATCAGTAAATCCAACCACAAAAATTATAATCAACAGAAAGGCAGTTTAGATAAGGGACTAAATGTTGAATATATCGACATAGTCTGATTTATATCAAGAAATCGTAATAGCACTTTATTTTACTGTTAAGTTCCGAATAAATTATTCTCTCTCTGAGCTCCTCTGGGTCTGAAACACAATTTTTACCACGGCCACTGTGCACGCAGCAGTGACTCAGCCCAGTCAGTGGGTGTGCCTCACAGAGGTGGCGGTCACTCCAGTGCAGTGCAGGCTGCCCAAAGGCCATCATTTGGTGGTGGTTCTTCATACAATTAGCTTATTTCTATTTTCCCATCTTCCTAAAATTTTCTTTCCAGCATGAAATAAGAGAAGGGTCATATTAGACCAATTATATAACATCTGTTGGTATTTTTATTCCCACTATAAATTTCAATCCCATGAAGATGCTTGCTAATTAATACCCAGCATGCTCTGGGACACCTCTTTCTGTGACCTGGGGATGCGTCTCCAGTTATTCTGAACTTAGACAGGACGCTGTGAGGAGTAACACCACCACCGGGCACAGGCCTGGACTGCACATCAACAATCGTGAACGCGCTATGGGGTTATCACGCCAATTCTCCCACGTATTTTGCCCGACAATAAAGAACCTGCTGTGGTATCTATCTTCAATGCACAGGAACCCGAAATACGTATCTGTGGTCTCTCCATTTTATTGCTTTAGTTTTATAATCACCACCTTTTCTTGATCTAAGATCTGCTAATAGGTATCCCTCTTACCTCTTTCCTTCTTACTTGGCCATTAGCAACGTGTCTTCCTCGAGCTGGGGTCTCTGTTCCTGCCTAAAAGGCGGGGAAGAGCGTGGGGGTAGCGTGCCCCTCCCTCCCCACTCACCTTGGCTCGCCCAGTGCTTTGAAGGATGTGGACTAAGGCACACGCCAACTCCTCTTTATTCCTCACGCTGATCACGGGCTCCAGGACGGAGCACAGCATGGTGTAGTTGCTGGTGACGAATTCCGCAAATTCTTTGTATTGCTCCATAGGCAGAATGGTGATGGTTTGGAAGCGCGATTTGATCCGAATGGAAGGCCCCCCCGTCTTTCCTTTGTTGGGCGTGGGTGTGCTCACCGGGTACCACTTTTCCACGAACTGGCGACCGGTCACGCTGGCTGTGGGGATGTTGACCAGACCGACATAGTTATTCTTGTCCTTTTTTTTCTTTTTCTCCACATCTTTATAAATGTGAACGGTGATGCTGTGAAGAGGTGGAAGACTGTAGAATTCGAAATGTTCACCCCAGAAAATGTTGTCTGCTTTGGTCTTGCTGGTTGTCCGGGCAAAGAGGGTATCATCAAGGCACAGTTCACAGAAGTATTTCTTTTTAGGGGCGAGGTCCTTGGCTTCGATGATCCACAAACGGAGAACGTTCTCAGCTCGTCTGCAGTTGTCCTAGAAAAAAGTAACAAAGCGGAGTCTGAGAGGTGAAATCTCAGAGAGACAGTATTTTCCCTTCTTTTCTGTCCTCACCTGAGGACATGGTTTCATTGATTGCAGAGGGGAGGGGGAGGGGAGGGGGAGAGAAGCGTCGACCTGACACCTCCCGTGCGCCTGGACAGCCCAGCCCCTTTTGGCTGGGCTGACGCCTGCGAGCGAGAGATCAGCAGGTGAGAAACTCGTGCTCCAGCTCCGTTTCTGTCACGCGCTGACTTCTGAGTGGGCAGCGCCCCTGACTCCTCTGGGCCTTCTTATCCACACTGGGAAAACCACAGTGAGATCTGAGGTAAGGCTGTTTTCAGCATAAAATGGTATAATGTGTTTGAAATGGCAAATGTGTCGAAAAAAGGTCTATGAAAATTAAGGTCTCATCACTGCATGTATCTTCTGCCAGTCACTGCTGGAGGAGCTATGCATTTTTTTGGGACGCTCGGAGCCACCGTTACCTTGTTTGGTTGAACTGTCCTGCGGAGGTTTTCCATCCACTTGTCTCGCTCTGAGGCGGAGTTGCAGCTGAAGCATTTGCTTCCGCTCAGGTAGGTGACCTTCAACACAAAGCCGGAGATAATGAGGGAAAGAACGCAGAGGGCTCGGGGGCTCTGGTCTCCCAGGGGTATCCCCTGGGAGTCAGGGATGTGCCATGAACGCAAGTCGCGCCACACAAAACCGAAGGGGCGTTCGCCAGCTTTGTGATTTCTGCGTCTACACCTCCATCCACTTTTTGCCTTGCGTCCTCACTCATCTCCAGGTGTGAGAACAAAGACCCCTGAGAATTCAGCTCGGGAACCTAAATCTGTTCAGAAGCATCGGAATTAAAACGCTTTCAGGACACAAATTACCCGCAAATGCGTATGCTCAGCTCTGAGCACGTTAACAGGAAGAGCGTCTCTGCAACGGCTCACCCAGTTTCTGGGACCGCCCTCACTGCACTGTTAGAAGAGGGCACCATGCGGAATGGAGAAGAGTCACCAGTGTCTGATTACTGTCCTTGGAACCCATTTCTCCTCCACTAGGAACCCCCCTGGTGATTTCCAGTCTTCACTAGGTTACCCTGAACACTAGTATCCCCGCCCTTGGAAAATGAGACCCGTTACCTACGTGTCCAGCGCCTAACCCTGGGCGTGGCGCACAGCCTGTAGAGATGAGGCCCCCCAAACACCGGAACGTTCAAGTGGCTTAATAACAAGAACGCTAACAAATGACCTGTCCAAAGTGCTGGGTGTGCTTACGCATTAACTCAGTCTCGGGTTACAACCTAGTGAATGAAATCATACTATATATTCTGGTCAATACGGTAGCTACTAGCCACACACGACTAGCGAGCACCTGAGACGGGTGTGGCTGGTCCAGACGAGATGAACTCTCAGTGTTGAAGGTGCAGTTTGACGACTTGGTACCCCCACAGGAAAGGATGTAAAAACATCTCAGTGATACTTTTTATATTAGTTATATGTTGAAATAGTTAAGGGCAATCTGTCTTTAAGAAATTAAGGCACGTGCAATGTACCAGGGCCTGGGTGAGGGACAGGGGATTATGAAAATAAGATGTAGTTCCAGATCTTGAACTGCCTGTGTTGTAGTTAAAAAAAATTACGCTTTGGTCAATTTTCTCAAAGGATTATTAAAATCGGGGTCTTAGGCTTTCAGGAGAAAAATAGTGTTTGATATCTTTATCAATTTAAAAAAATTGAAACACTCATTTAATGTTATTGTTAGTCTTACGGGTTCTGCTGGGACTGTACTAAGAACCCGTTTATCTGGAAAGCCAAGAGGCAGGAGAAGCCACCATTAATAACTTTAATCACCGATGTAATTAGATTAATAGACTTCCAAATCTTTTCCCTGTAAGCAGGTAATTTTCCATGACTGAAAACCAATTAAGATGATCCAATCAATACCACAGTCGTGAAATCACAGAGCTGCTGGCTAGGACACCTGCTTGTTGCTCGACTGTCCTCCCACCCTCCCTCCTTTCCTACCTCGAAGCAGAAGTCCTGCCCGAGGAGGCTGCTGTGCAGCGGCTTCACGGCGACGGGCTCCCCACGGCCCAGGTCCAGGCACTCCACCGCGCTGCACGGGCTCAGCAGGGACTCGTGAGAACGGGATTCTTTCAGTTTGGGCAGCCCACGGGACCTCCAATAGAGAAGGGCATGTCAGACAGGGTGACCACTCGGCCAACAAAACAATAAATGAAGGTCCAGCACCGTGGAGGCTGACAAGAAATGGATACATGGCTGCAAAAACGGTAAATGAGGAGCCAGTCAGCACAGTGGCCATGGGCGCGTGGCCCGCACCGACCTCACACACGTGTGTGTGTGCGCGCGCATGCACACACACCTTCTTCCTCGCTAAAGCACAAAAACACACTGTAATGTGACCAGTCTCAAGGGAGCTCAAAGCTCCAGTACAGATGTTGTTTGTATCCTCACACCTGGTTTGGAGACGAAGAAACATACACTATCCAGGGTTGTCTTGTGTATTCCTACTCATGCAACGGTATTATCCAAAGACATATTATCTCTTTTTTCTCATACTGTAGCTCTGTCCTCTCCTGTCACTGACAAAATAACGGTGGCTGAATCCTCACTCTGTTTCTTTCTGCTTTGGAAGAACAAAAACACACACACACACACACAGAGTCGAAGCCACGCTTTTCAGTCCAAGACCCTGCCTTTCAAAAGGTCTGATTTCCATCTCAATATGACATTCTTTTCTGGCAGCCTTTTGGTTCTATCCGTGCCGTACTGTATAAATATGAATAAAGAATGAAATGCCTTAAGAAGCCTCCCACCCACAGAAGAAATGTTCAAACGCTCATCTAGAAGAACAGTTCTTTGTCCACACCTCTCCAGCATCCTGACTGGTTTTCTTCCCCGGCTGTTGAAAAAAGCAGGCTGGGAGTCTCGTCCCCAGAGGAGCTAGAACTTCACTGCCTTGCCCTTGGAGGAATTAACAAAATGGAACAATATAAAGCACAATACTTTTGAATCCGGCAATGGACGGCCATGCAGCTTTACTCAGTAATTACAGTATTTATTGACTGAGACATCCAGGATCAACTCTGCATATGTACTTCCAGCACAAATACCTAGTGATGGGGTGGAAAGAGATGCCCTGTGCGAGGACATTTGTTTCTGCAGAGCACATTAAAGAAGCAGCTCTGTCCATTTGCTTGGAACAACCCTGTTAACATGAAAAGGGGCTGAAATACTCGATGCCAGAGCAGCTTTCAGTTCAGTTAGGAAGTAACGAGATGTAGGAAAGCGGCAGTGAAGGCTGCTCTCTCTGTGTCCACCCTGACATCATTTACTCAAACTCTACACAGCAAGAAACATCTTACGCAACAGATTTTACTCCATTCTTCTCTCCCCACACAAATGCCCGACCACCACTTGATGTCTGGTCCAGCAAACGCGTACACTGATACCCAGCAGTCCTTTTAAGGTCGAAAAGCCAATACTTATATTTACTATTGATAATACAAAACGTGCACAAAAGCCACCTAATGTTTGCACATAAAAATATAACAATGTAACAGCTCCACACTTATTTCCTTTTGTTCTCCTGGATGAGACAAAATGCCATGGTACATATGGCAAAGACAGCGGCGCAACTATAAATAACTAAACGCTAAAACCGTTTCGCTTTAATGTAATCACCACACCACCTTTCCCAACGTGCTGCACGGGAAGCCGGGCCGAGGCAACAGGACGCTGCAATCTCTCTGAAACGGAGAGAGGACAGCAGCTCCAGCCCCTGCCCCCGGGGGGGAACCGCGTCTCAAGCTCTGGGACTGAGCCCTCACTCACAGCACGAGAGAAAAAGGCATTGCTTCAAACAGAAGGAGGTACGACCAAAGGCTCACTTTTATTTTTAGCATTCCCTAGGAAGACAGTCTCAAACAGAAATTAATTTTATTTCAGAGAAAACAAACGTCTACCTACATGAAGCAACTGCGCAGCCACCTGGCGGCGCAGCCCCCGAGCATAGCGGAGCCGCGCGTCGGGGCGCGGCCAGGCCCTCTCTGAACTACATCTCAGCAAACACCTCTCGGTTTAGAAGACAAGAACCGGCAGAAGACGGTCTCCCTGCTGCTGCTGCCCTCGGCCACTGATAATAACATCTTCGGATCAATGTTTTCCGGGCGTGATTTCAAGTCCTCAACAGAAGAAGACAAACAACAGAACAAGAAGTCGTCTTCCAGACGGACGCCGGACAGGTGACACTCCCTCCCCTCTCCCCCAGGCTGCTCCAGCCCCGCAGGTGACACAAACACGGCTCCGGGCTCTGGGCTGGGCCTGTTGCCATGGCGCCACGCCCATCCGGAGATCGGAGCTGAAGGCGGCAGGGAGAAGCCTCGGCTTGAAGGACTGGAGGAGCGTGCTCTCTGCAAGCCTGCCCGTTTTAAGGCGGGAAGAAAGGGATGGCAAGGCCCCTACCCATGTCCGTAAACATCTTCTCAGAGTCAAAGGCTGTAGGGAAAAACCGAGGCAACCTGGGGTGGGGAGGAATGTCTTAACTCTACCGGGGGACCAAGTTGAGAAGCTTCGCCTTGCTTCCCCTGCCTCTCCCTGCACGTACCAGAGGGCAACTGCCGCGTCCCAACCGCAAGCCCGCCCTCTCCCACACGTCCGTTCTCTCTCTTGCGCTGTGCTCACCCTCGTTCCATGTTTCTAGGTATGGTTTTACATGACCCTCTCTGGGTTACACATTCTTTTTTCTTTCGGACAAAGTTGGATAAAATTCTTTGTTCACCTTATTTCCAATGCCCAACGAATGTGATTTCGATATTCAGGTCTAACTACCAAACACAGCTATCAAGAGCTTTTGCAACCAAGCCTTCTGGAATTAGAGTTCAAAACTCCTCCCGGTTACTGCAACAGCAGTTACTAATACACAGCTGGGAATCTGCTATTGTTTGGCATTTACGTACCGGATTAACATGTACGTGTGCCCCTGCTTCCACCCACACGGTGAACTGAGCGCCGAAGTCACTGCTGTGTTCAACGTTCCTGCTGAATAAATGAGCGAGCCCTTCCTGCATTGGGCAGAAAGCGTCTCAGAGAAGACACAAGTAATTCCCAGAGAGGTGGGGCTACAGTCAACAGGGAGATGCAGCAGCCTGGGAATGCCCGGGGAGTGGGGGTGGGGTGGGGCGGGGAGGGCCTTATCTGCGCACAGACTTCTGTGTAACAGCATCAGGAATCTCAAGTCGCCTCAAAATCACATTTCCCACCTCCCGTACCTTCAGAATTGATGTCTCTCAGACCTGCCCACTAGAGCGTTTTAGCAGCCTGTACGGCAGCTTACTTCTCGAATAGAAAGCAGAATGTGGATTTACTGAGAGAATAATAAAAGTTTAAAACAATTTGTTCCAGTCCAATTAGACAATGGCCTTCAGCAAGGGCCTCGCCTGGAGAGCGGACACTGTGAATCCCTCGACGACCCGCCAGCCTCTCCCCGGGACCCCACACCCTGACCCCACACCCCGACTCCACGTAAGGGTAATTCAGGGCTCCAATTTGACTGTATCTCACTGTAATCCAGAAACTGCTTCCCAGAAGCACTGTTAGTTCTAACTCAGGAACACCATATATTTTACATTTTTGTTTCAAGGTCAGCGGACAACCTTGACTTCTGTGTAAACCTCCAAGACTTCTACTGGGATAGGTAAGGGTTCACATTCTAACTGCTTTGTAGCTGGAGATTACCTGCTGCTTCTGACCTATTTAAGAGATCATGAACCAGGAGGAAGGGAAAGGCTTTCCAGTACGTGTCCCAGTGAGTGCCACACTGCTTTACCTCACGTCCCTGTCTGGACGGACACGGGAGAAGGGCCGGGGGACGACGGACAGCAACGCACTCCCCACCGGCTACGCGGACGCAGAAGAAAAGGGAGTCAAAGCACTTGGACCGGTGCGTGCTAAGGAAAACACAGCTGGGTTTTACTCGGCTTAACCATCCGACTTTTTAAAAAGCCAGATTTTCCCCAAAGCGCCAGTGGTGCTTGGATGTGCTAGCTCAGTCTGCCACACGTTTAGAGATTCAGCCCCAGACTTGGGGAACTTTTAATTAAAAATGCTTCCTGCCACATGAAATCCGGTATTCCAGTGCAGGTGAGTCTCTGCTTGGCTAGGCAGTTCTGACTCGAGGCTGCTCTGCTGAATTCTGGGAGGGACTGCTCAGCCATCAGGTCGGCGTAGCGACAGACGCATCCATTTGCCAGTAAGCAGTCCTATGGGAGTGTGCCTCGCCTGAAACCTTCCCAGGTGGTATTAACAAAATTTGGTTATCTTTTTTAAAAAGATTTTATTTATTTATTTTTAGAGAGGGAAGGGAGGGAGAAAGAGAGAAACATCAATGTGCGGTTGCTGGGGGCCGTGGCCTGCAACCCAGGTATGTGGCCTGACTGGGAATCGAACCTGCGACACTTTGGTTTGCAGCCCTTGCTCAATCCACTGAGCTACACCAGCCAGGGCTAATTTGGTTATCTTAATACCAGCAAATTTACAAAGGGTCTAATAGTTTTTTTTTAAACTGCATCCGAGATCTCATATTGAGAAAAATGTATCTTCAGCGGTTCCCCGATTTCGATTGTTTTTGAAACCTGGTACCCGTTGACCACACCTCACTCGATGTTTTCTGTGTGAAAGAATAGATCCCTTCCTCTACCATAATCTTAAAGGTTTCCCTCCCTGAGTTAAGGAAGAAAGAAATTAAAGCTCATTCATCCAAGTTCTACTTGTGTGTCAAAAAAAAAAAAAGCCCTCCTGGCTGCACTGGGTTACCTGCTGCAGTTGAAGCTCGTCCCCACGGCTTTTATTACGCACTGCTTTTACGTGAGCTTTTAAAGGACCCTCACACCAGCCACGCGGAGAGCTCTCTGTGGAAGCTAACACACAGAGCCGATCTCTCTTCTCCCTGTTCTCCGATTCCGGGCAGGGTGGTCTAATGAGCCCAGCTGCTGGTGGTAAAAAAGGATACCTGCCAGCCTGAGTTGTCACTTAAACTGAACAAGCGCACGGGCAGGAAATGTATCACCACAGACAAAAATGCCACTCAACCTGTTCCGGTACAAATGCATGCATATGTACAATGAAGGTGGACACAGAAGGAAGACAAGATTATAAATA